ACTTGAAATATGTTTCTGTTCATCGTGGGAAAGATCTTTTTCTGTCGCCGTGAGTGATGCTCTTTGGAAGGCGGGGAATCGCGTGTCATTCCGGTTACACATAACATACAGATAGTTTCCACCCGCGTCGAAATTTTGCTTTTATATTAATCTTGAAGTTCTCGTTACATTTGGACAATAAAGAAAGGTATCCCGAGACGTGACGCCGGTTGTTGATTTAGCTTGACGCAACGAATGTTTATTTATCGCTGTTCTCTTTTTCACTTTTGAAACTCCAAATCAACAAACATGGCAATCTCGCGGGCGATTTCGCTCCAGAGGTCCAGAGTTTGCTCACGAGATAGGAGCGAATTCTCGGCTTTACTCGCCGTTTGACTTATCGGCAAGTTCAATAGTTATACGAATAACAGCCGGGTTATTGCGGGGAAAAAGAGCACGAGATAATTTCCAGGTAATACGATCTTACATGTGATACATACGATACGCGAAATATGATATGATTACGTGAGATATGATACTGTATGATGCATCATTATTAGCATTATAATATTACAATATGATGTACGCAATTGAACGCACCTGACCGTCGCATAATGAGAGATGATATCGATTCGCGATGTTAATGCGCGCATATCATGCAGCAGAGGGAATTTTATTTGTACGTTCCATATCGAGAGAAGTCGTTCATGTTCAGCAGCAGATTAACGGAAACGCCTATCAAGCCGCTTCGGGCTTGAACGAAAGGTTGCGCTCGCGACGCGTACTTGAGCGAGTCGCCGCCGCCGCCGTAAAATCGTCCTGCGGCTCATACCCGTGGCTTTCATTTTCGTCTGTGTCAGCGCGCCGCACGTAGACGCGACCATGGACCACTTTGTGGGCCATAAATCTAGGAAGAGAGCACGGTGGGCGCACACCAACGACCGTTACGTGTGTACGAATCCGGCGCGGGCGCGTATGTACGCGCGATGAGGAGAGGTCGCAATGTAACAACCGGTCGGGCCCAGTCGCATCAGCCTTGCCGACGAGTTATCTGAATATCAGGTCAAGGTTATCGGACGTCAATGGGCAAGCGTTCGGCATCGCGCAGGCTGATTCTTGATGGCCGATAAAGACGACACTTTGCAGGAGCGGGCGTCGCGTCGCTCCTTCCGCCGGCTGCTAACGCAATTGACGACACTCCCTACGTGGGAGACGCTCGCGAATTCGCCCGCCGCTCGGCCATCTGATTTGCAAATGACGGCTTAGGAACGCGGAGTCCTCTTCTGCATCCGTTTGTCACGCTATTACGGTAAATAAAAACCTAGCGCGAGCAACAGTGTCTCGATCGTTTCCTCTTAGGCTTCGATTTGCTGGTCGGACGGAATGCGAAGGGGGCACGTTTGCGACGTGTTTCTTTGATCTTGAAATATGTTGAAAAATAGACAGCACTTCACACCCAATCCCTTTTATTCTTTTTGTAATTGTATAACGTGCTCTAATTTCAGCATAATTCACGTGTTTTTGACAGAAATCTCTAAAGATCAAGATGATACGATTTTCATTCCGCCCGCAACTGACCAACGCGTCAGCTAAAAATGACACGAGACGGTTAAGAAACTCAAACATTTCAATAAAACTGTGATGAAACGATACTAAAGGATAAAGAACTGTCCTCACCTTATTGAAATGGCCCTTTATTCACCTACCTGACAAAAGTCAATCAATTTAATGAAAAATTATTCGTCATTTTTATTATTTTATTATACGTTCACCAATAAAAAAAACAATGATCATTCCTCATTTAAAAATAGAGGTAACAAAGAAAATTGCGGAACAAGGGAAAAAATTGAAACACTCACGAATTAAAACCCAAACATGTGAAAAAAGTCGAAAACATTCTCTGCCTTTCTCTCTCTCTCTCTCTCTCTCTCTCTCTCTCTCTCTCTCTCTCTCTGTCTCTTTCTCTCTCCGCCATTACACCGGCGGTAGGCGAAAATAAACGGTGTGCTCGGCTCTCGAGTTACACCGTCCACTTACGCGTACGACCGTCATAACGCCGATATAATTTCCTCGTTCCAGTTATTGAGGTTCGCGTCGAAGAGTGCAATTTCAACAGGGCCACGCAGACAGGACGGTAATTAGCCATCCTAATTGCCATTTAGGCAATACCGCCGCCCGCGGTATAAACAGGTTTGGTTAACCCGTATTCAAATCCCACCCCCTCCCTCTCTTTGTTTGTGCTGTGTATGACAAGCGTCGTCAATACAGGCATAGTGCCACTGATCCGCATAATACAGAGGCCGTCGCGCTCTCTCAGCGGCGGCCCACGAAATCTCGCGCGATGTCCGCGCGATTACGTGCATTTGCGGCGGCGGAGAGAACCGGCGAGAAAGAGTCATGTGGCTTAGCGCGACGAGACACGAGTCAATATCCGCAAGTATAATTAATTCTGGCCGACAGACTCGGCTAATTAATTCGAGGGGGAGAGATCGGTCGTTTCTCCATTCGGCTTCCTGCAAGATCGGATCGCGCGCGCCGAACAAGAACGCTTAATTAACCGCGGCCGGCACGCTCCCGGCCGTTTCGTCGTTTCACAAGACGATTCCGCGCGTCGCTCTTTTTGCGCTCGAGCAGTTTATAGCTGACGCGCGAAGAAACGGCGCGAGGTACAAATCATGATTGCTTCTCAATCTTGCTATTCCGCCGACGAGGCGAAACTTTATATAACGCATGTTCCTTTCTCTTTTCTGCTCTTTCTCTTGGCTCCTCCTTCGTCCCCATTCGCGAAACGTCGAGCTTTTCGGAAGAAGCCGGACGGCGCTTTTTGCGAGACCGAAGTTGATGATGACCGTCGTTCGCTTCGACGACGGAATTTCCCTTATTTGAGCGAGATGGCGATCGATACAGCGCGCGCTCTTGCGAATCGCGCCGCCGTCACAGCGGTCATAACCAGCGTGGATCGTTACTACGATTACCGCAGACCACCCGAATTAATATTCGCATAGCCGGCGGCTGATAGTTACGGGTTGTCCGCGAATCCACAGTTCTATCTATTCCGCATTGACACGCGAAATTCGGCTGGCGAGTCTTCGCGTTCGACCGAACAAACGGCGCGCTCCCGCCGAAGGATGCTGTCTCACTCTCTTTCTCTCTCTCTCTCTCTCTCTCTCTGCAACGTCGGGATTAATTAATTCATTCTCGCCGTGCGCGAGCAGTTTTGCCGGGACAACTGTAATTCTCAGGAAGGGAAGACACAGAGATGATGTGTAGCGTTCAACTCATTCAGGTGACGCTCGTTCCTTCGGCGACGGAGGATCCGTTCGGTGCAAACTGAGTGCCGTCGTCGAACGTTGATTAGCAGCGGCGAAGGAGCGTTCTCATTAGTCTAGCGTTATTCCTCGCGGGACAATAGCACGGTTTTACCATCGGCTTGTGTGCAATAATTTATTAACGTCGCGTCTCAATCGCGCATCTCGCGCGCGTCGTCGAGCCGTCCGAGCCGGCTAATCGCGCGTGCCAATTTCGAACGCGACGACGAGCGTCGTGTATCATCACGCGATTTGTAATGCGTGTTGCTTGTCGGCTGGGAAGCACGTGAAGCAAACGTGCAAATCCGCAGATAAGAATTAGTCGAGGTAGGCTGCGGGCGAAATTGCGCGAAATCAACAGGAACCGTCAAGTCGGCCTCTCTCGCGAACGATGCGCGACGGAGCATGAAAGTGCAGATATCTTACATTTTATCGCGGTTTGTCGACTGCCCGTTAATATCGCATCGCCGGGACTATCGCGAGAATCAATAATTTCGCGACCTGCTCTTGTTTTCTTTTCTGCGCTGAAAGTATGCGATGAGTCTTGGGATTACTCACTCGAATGAAGCCTTTCAAATCAAGCTTACGTCACGTAGCGTCACAACATCGTCGAGGCGCTATTCGAAGCTGACTCGGCGCTTTTTATGCAGTTTATATTTTACATCATGCTTCTTACACAATGGTATGATGATATGATTTTTTATGAATCCAGGCTTTTAGTAATGTCTTCGATCTATGCTATCCTGACTCTGTGATAATGTGAGTCGAAATTCTCACGGAACGTGGCGGACGAATCGAATACAGTTCCAACTTGGAAACCGGACGTTTTTATGTAATGGAAATGAAAATTAATGCAAAAGTTAATCGGAGCGTTGCTCAATATGCGACGAAAGCGGTGGAAGATTGCAAAGTTACCAAAGTTGTGCAACTTGTTTATACGAACTTGCATTTTCCTCCGCTGAGGAAATATTCCAAGAATATGTTGCTGTACCTTTCCGATTGAATTTAAAAAACTCAAGATATACACGAGAAGCTTGCATAAACAGTTCCTTACATATTTACATATTTATATGAGATATATACACGCGTGTGTCACGTAACATGTTTCGATTAAAAACGGAATTTCTGATTCACACCACGAAGCATAAATTAAAAAATTCTACTTCGAAAGGAAGAGCCGAGAGGAAGAGCGTCCGGTCCATTCATCATCAGATTAATTAATCCGACCGATATTTCTTTTTCGCGCGCGACTCGTTCTCTCGTCAAACATTAAAATCGATCTCTCGTCGATGGCTGCGTTCTGACTGCGTCCGCTTATCTCCCCGCTGATAAAGCGATCGCGTGACAGCAACGATTACCCATCTGATCGGAACCCATTTAATCGACCTCTCGCAATTTATTAATCGGTTTAACTCATTCATTAACCGCACAATGCGACAATTGTCTCCGCCTGAATATTCGCGAGGCAAAGCAACGCGGAAATGAGACACACGCTCATCGCGTTCAGTCTGGTGGCCCATCGATGCGCGGGAGTCCTTCCTCAGCTCGTGTCCGAAGATCTTTTGTCGCAAAGGTTGAGCAGTCAAGGCCCGCTATTAACGAATTCACATGTCCCGGTGCCGTGTCGACAACGGTCGAAAAAGGGGCCTAATCAAAGTGCGCGAGCCTATAAGAGGCAGCCTCGACAGACGTTTCGTTCAGTGCAGTTGGCGTGACTCAGGCCGAGCTAGACCATACGGTGTTTACTCGCGTTGGCCGGCCGACCCGTCACGAGATTCTCACTCGCGTGTCTCCATTTGACTCGACTGGGCTGGACTGGACTCTCGGCTCGGCTCGCCCGTCGATCTAGCAAATTGGAGCCGTATCAGGAGTACCGAGAAAGGGAAGACCATCGCGCTCCTGATAACTGTAATATCTGAGGCATATCGCGTAACGATAACGCTTTGTGCAACATCGTTTTCACGACGATTATTGCTGCTGAGAGAGAAAGAAAGAGAAAGAGAGAGAGAGAGAAAGAGAGCGATCTTGGTTGCGGAACTCGTACGACTATCGCGCGTTACGTGGGACGAAAAAAGAGAGGGAGAGAGAGAGAGAGGGAGGGAGGGGGAAAGAGGAGCCGAGAGAGAAGAGGAATAAAATCAGTGGAAGCCGCGTCGAGAACGACTTCTATTCCACTTTTATCTCCGTACTTCGCCAGAGACCGCCGCTGGCGAGGCTGGTCACATAACGAGCCCGGTGATGCCGCGTAAAACCGGTCATCAGTATGTAGATCTGGCTCCAACGACGGCAGCAGTAAGAGCAGACAGGCGGATTCGGTCCACGTGAAAGTGGTGCAGGGCCGCGACGGCGAATCGCCAACAAGAGGGACCGGTTGATCCTGCGTCTATAACGGGATCACGGTGTTATTGCAGCTTATCAGCTTGCAGGTTCGAGCTTAAGCCAGATTTCGCTGTTGGGAACGAATTGGTGCGCGCGGCGGAATAGCGGCCGGGAGATCGAGACGCGGGTCGAAGTCTCTCGTTCGCTGCCGACGACTTTTAACGAGTAGCCGGCGAGAAAATGGTTCTCGCTAAAAACTATCGTGACGTTCCTTCGCGTAGACTCGGCCGGTATGTAAATTCGATTTTGCTTTTTCCTCATCGAGTTATTCCACGTCCGAGCAGCTTCGCAAGTAGGTGAGAAGGTCGCAGTCATGTGGCCGGCGGAAGGTGGCATCGCCTCTAACGTGTTTGATTATTCAGCAGACTATATTACCGGTGGTAACAACAGCGAACAGCTGTTTATGTAGTAAACGAGAACAGCCGCGGAAAGTTGAGGAATGTGCTCGCGCGCTCTGTTGCGACTTCGCAGGAACTGAAAGCGACGATCGATCGAGACGGTCTCACGAGTCAGCGGACCTAATCGCCGGCGATTATTCATCAGCTTAGTCATCGTGTCGCGAGGAATCAATCGACGCTTATCCCGCGTCGGTGCCGCGTTCGTCGTTGCGTCGGCGAGAGGCGGCAAACGAGGCTCGGTTCTTGTCGAGGATCGTCGCATCGCTCGTCCGCTCTCCGGACCGGTATGTGTATAATCGACTCGTTATACCGACGAGGCGACGAAGTTTCCACGCGGATAATAGTGCCAGTCGTTCAAATTACGAACTACGCGAGTTCAACATTCTGCCGCGGGGGGAGAACTGAATGAGTCGGGCGGCGCGTCAAGTCGCGGGTCCACGTGGCGGCCGTTCTCGTTGAAGCTGGGACGTCACGAAAGAAGGTGAGGCGGACCGAGTCTGCCGGGAATAGTGTGTCCTCTCGCTGCTTTCCCGAGGAGTTTTCATCTCTCGCAACTGTTACGCGCGGTATTGTTATTTGCGCCGCGCCTTGGCGAGATGCTCATCGGTATTGAATTTGCGTCGATGAGTCGCTCGGGGCAATTGAGATTCTTAACTGTCGGAGAAGTGTCCAGTCTTGAATCATAAAAGTGACGAAGGAGAATGGTAGATTAGAAGTAGAGGTAGAGTGAAGAGCTTCAGCAAATCGGGAACTTGAAGAGAGACTCGGTTTCGTCATGTGCAATTTTTTTTATCGCGTTTGACGAGACGGAATTTCGACCAACGCTCGTTAACGCGGCACTCGGAGTATAATCGATTGGCATTGACCGCGTTCAGATATTAGTAAGTAGATAGAACTTGCATCGATACAAGAGAGAAAAATGACTCGCGGACTCGTAAATATTTACGGTACGAGCATGTTATTATGGAGATTCGGAAATACGCGAGGAACATCTAGCAACGACATTAAATTCGACACGTGGAAGAAAAATTGCTTATGAATTAATATGGCAGTGAGCGAAACAGAAACTCTTTTTCTATAGTTTTTCACTTGTGCCAGTATAGCTCGTGCAGCAAATTAAAATAATGTGCCATCGAGCGCGCGTAATCTATTCAATCATTATCGATAATTCTGGCCGAAGGAAGCGGTATTTCTGGTTGTCAGAATTTAGCAGGCAACAGAAATTTTATTTCTGCTTCGAGCCAAAGGCATTTGGCTCGTTCATTGTAATGTTAATTCAACGAATCTTTTGCTTTCGCGATCTTTCCCCAATTCTTATCTCTCTTCGTTTTCATTTTCTTCTTTTTCTTTTCTTAATTTTTATCGATAGAAATTTTTCTAAATCCTCTCTCAGTGCGCGTCCTTCATCCGTCTGTGAAATAAAGGTGAAAAGATATGCAAAGTTGTTCGAAAGCTAAACGATCAAACAGTCTCATAAATATAACAGGCAGAAGCGCGTGAAACGCTCGAAGCAGAGAAAACGCGAAATCGAGATTCTACGTTTGTTCTCGTAGAATCGTACAATTTTTATCAGGATGAAAATACGTTGAAATAGACAAGCAAACATACAAAACATATGCAAACAAATAATAAATTCATGTAGATAAATATTTCCTTCTTCTACTTTATCTGTGTGCTAATTACTCCTCTAAACTCCGTTCCGCGAAACTTTTCGCTTTAAGCGTATCAGTGATATAACTAGATAACTCTAGCGACAATGAAAAAGCGCTTTATTCCATCATCATCTCTGTACAAACCGCCTCAAGCAAACTGTTTGTCCTGCTCTTTCATTCAATCTGTCTTGTAACCTTTTCACGTAACTTATTTGCGCTCTGACAGACTTTTATTGCTGATTTATTCGTCGTTAATTACATTTTTTTTTTTCTATAATTTTTCACTTGTGCCAGTATAGCTTGCACAGCAAGTTAAAATACTGTGCCATCGAGTGCGTGTAATCTAGTCAATCATTAACGATAATTGCAACCAGTGTTTTGCGTTGCAGGTAGAAAATTGTCGCAGTCCAGCTCGGAACGTATCTACGTACGCGAGTGTAACGTCCTATTTCTTCGGAGACTACCATTCGTTCGCTTCACATTGTAAGGTATTTGTGAAGAAGAACAAACCATCTACGACAGAGGATTGCGTAATGTAGTGCGAGAAAAAGTCGAAGCGCCGCCACACGAAACGTCAGCAAAGCTTATTTGCAACTGACATTGCAATCTAGATTCGCATCGCCAAGGACGTCGATTATCGAGGGTACGCATTCGATAGTAACCGATTGTGATCGTGTTTCCCAATCGAAGCGAAAAAAATGGCGCTCATCTGTAGGTACGTAATCGGCTCGGGCCGATCGGCGATTCGAGATTACGCTCGCGACGATAAACAATTACACGCGTGATTGTTGCATTTCAGCGAGGAGCAGCAGGCGATGCTCCGGCATGAAGCCGACAGCGGATACGAAAAGGCGCCGAGCGCGAAGAGGTTCTGCGAGGACATCGAGAACAACAACAGCCTCAACAATTTCAAGAGCAGTCACGGGAGTGCGTCGCGGAACAGGGGCGAAATGGCCGCGCAGTACTCGTCGAATGCGAAGGGAGTGTTGGCGCAGGTGAGACGATCGCGTGTCTTCAGCGTCAGTCGCCGCGAGTAACAAAACACGAGGCGACTGTGCGATCTGTCCAGTTTGTCCTCTCCGTTGCTTCCGTTTTTCCTTCCGCCTCTTCTCCGCTTTTCCCTCACAGAGGTGCTTTCTCGCTCGGCCGAGCTTCCAGCTTTCTAACGAATTCTTTTTCTGCCTGAAGTAACGCGCGCGTAAACCGCCAACTTTGGCGCAAAAGGGAATTTGCAGCGTGTTCGCGGGCGAGACATGCTGCGTGCTCAACAGCGCGAGAGCAGCGCCAACCAGATATTCTGGATTGGTGCCAGTGTATCTTTTTCTTTATTTATAAATAGATACTCGAACGCGCCAACGCTCATGACCGTCCCACCCTTTCGCCTCCCCCCCCCGCTTACCGCGTATGCAAAATTCGCATCGTCCGCGGGAATCGGGCGTTCTATAGCGGATCGTTATGAAACTATGTGTAAATATCACTTGCGAGCGACGGAGCAGAGTACAAGATGTGCAGCCTCATTAATTTCGCTTTAACGAAACCGCTCAGCGGCTAAGTAGAGACGCGTAAAACCGCGTGTTTCTCATTGAGAATATATAATTTTGCTTCTTCTCGCCGGTGTTTATATCTCTCGCTCTCGCTCTCTCTCTTTCTCTCTCTCTCTCTCTCTCTCTCTCTCTCTCTCTCTCTCTCTCTCTCTCTCTCTCTCTCTCTCTCTTTCCCTCTCTTTCGCACTCTCACTCTCGCTGCTGGTACGGCCTTACGGTAAAATGCAAATCACGTTCTGTCATAACAAGACAAGCGCTCGGAGCTGTCCTCGAGGTGAGCGCGTGCATTTGCTCTTTTTGCAATGTATCATTTACCGGTTCTCCGTGATTTATGTTGGCGATGTTTGCCTCACTCCTTTGCCCTCATTCCCACCCACCTCCTGCCTCTCTCTCTCTCCCTCTGCAACCTTTCGCGGCGAAGTTTACGTCTGAAGCGAACTCCGTTCCGGATGCGGCCGCGCAGAGCCGCGTAAATACACTCCGGCGACTTACGTCAATTTCCGCGGCACTGCAGAAACAGAGAAGGCAAAGCGACGCGGTATAATAGCGATTTAAGTCCCGTGAATACGCCGGTAAATCCTGGCCAGTTGTCAACCGCACGTTTCTTATCCCCCTTTTCAATTTGTCGAAGCTTCGCCCTCCTATATGATCACGATGTATATCCACTCGCCTTGAAGTCGCTCCAAGGCGCTTCGTCTTCTGCGGACCTGCTGCGGTCGCCTTCACCCTTTTTCTTTCTTCTTTTCTCCTTTAACATATTCCTTGCACGGGACATTCCAATGTTTCACGACGGTGTTGGTAGCCCCCCGCAGAGGGCTATCGTGTGCCGGTCGTTAGGACTTCGTCTCGCGTCGGTATGCTCGACGATGATTTATACCGAGCTATTGACGGAGTCGATACGTGTTGTTAATTAGCTCTTAATTAGCTCCGATGTTAATTAGCTCTTCATGTACAGTTCAGTAGCCGAACATACTTACCGTAGAGACTCTCTTGGTTCTTTTCGCTTTCCGCTCTTATCGTTCATCTCTCCCGTCTCTTTATGTTATTTTTCTCGTTTATCTTCTCTCTTGTTTATCTCTTGTTATGGCCGAATGGTTAATCTTTATGCACTAACCTTACCTAACGTTTGAGGAGAATGCTGTAATAAGCACCGCATTTTCCTCTTTCTCTCTCTCTCTCTCTCTCTCTCTCTCTCTCTCTTTCTTTCTTTTTCTCGCTCTTTCCTGTTTCTCTCCTTCGCTCGATTCGCTCGAATCGAAAAATATATTTATTGCTTGGCACGCCGCAATTTTTCACGTCACGACATCGGCAATTTCTTCGTGTATTGGTCGTTAAAATTTGGTCCTATCGATTCGCTCATCGACGGCTGACGTTGAGATATCGACTGAGTCGTCGTTACTTCGCGATTACTTCACGCCGAACAAAATCATCATCGGTATCGGTAGCGTCGCGTCGAGATTTATCACGGCCGCGACGATTTGTCAAGTCCGGTCCAATTAGTGAGGCGAGATTAATGGTTGGATTGTTTGCAGTGTTTAGTAACAGGTGCTGTATTGCTGTTGGCTACCGGTGGCGGCATGCCGATTGGTTACAGCGCTGTCATGTTGCCGCAATTGTCGGAACCCAACAGCACCGTGCGCGTGAATCAAGAACTCGGCTCCTGGATAGGTGAGGACGCGTTCTAATTAACGCTAATTAACCGGGCCAACTCGGCCTGAGAAAGCGCGAGACGCGAGAAGAAGCAACCGCGACGTATTCGCGTGTCGGTCGGACAATTTACTCGCGGTCTTTATTCATCTGATTTGCGGGCTCGTTTACTTGTTTGTTGTTTCATTTGTCTTATTGACGTTTCTTCGCGCGAAGTATATAATCCGTATAGAGATAGAAGTCAAATTTCGATTTGTAATTATAGTCGATACTCGCATTACGTAGAGAAATAAAGAAAAAGCGAGAGAAAGGGGGACGAGAAAGAAAAGAAGAAGAAAGGAGAGGGAAAATAAAATACACGCATATTTAAGTCTCTTCGCGGACCTTGCAACCTCGCGAGTTCAAGAGCCAACATGCAGGTTCAAGGTTGCGCTGGCGTAACCCTCGCGCTAATGAAGCGGCCGCCGATCGTCGCAAACCGCACGTAACCGTAACTGACCTACATACCGTCTCATTGAATAATCTTTATCAATGAGTGTCATGGCCAAGTTCGAGAGCGAAAGGTACCATTGGGAGAGGCTACGTTAAATCTCATTGATAACGAGCAATGTCACAGACGATCGCGTATAGACGCGCGCCACTTAAATCGTCGCTTCGAACGGAGTCATTTAACACTTTGCGGCCCGCTCTCACTGCAGTGCTGTCGTGTCTCTCCCGACGTTGCTTTCGTCGTTCTCGACGTCGTGCGAATTTCGACGTTGTGGCCGGCATGGCATAGCGACAACGCCGCGACATGAGATATGAGACTCACGATTACATGTATCTATGATTGAATCTAGTCAGTTCTTTCATATCAGCCGCTGAAGAAACGCCGCTGAACGTCGTATCGGTTTGCTCGAGCTAGCTCGAGACAGCTTCATGCGCGAGGCCGCGAAGCTGCGTCGAGCGAGTCTGCCGGAATTTGGAGTCTCGTCCGCGCTGAGAGAGCGAACGTCTCGCTCGCTGATACCGGACGAGATATCGTCTTCAATAATTCCGATCTCGCGCATCCTCGTCCTCGTTTCGCGCGCGTACGATGTATAAAAGATGCAGACAGCGCGTTCGTCGTTCCCAGCGCTCGGCGGGGGGGAGGGGGGGATATTAACAATATCAGCAATGCGTGCAACGTTGCGTTATCGCGCGCGGTGCGTTTTATCGCTGATCCATAAAATTTGCGACACCCAGCATATTACGTGTTTTACATTTTGCAAATATACCGGATATGTACACTCGCCGCTGCAGAAGCCGTGTATTTTGCGCAACCTCTCGGCCGACGGCCGACGATAACGAAGCGTCGGGTCGACGCTTTGCGAAAAGCAGCTGAAAATTTTGCACTTTCGTCAGCGGCAGGCCAAATTGCCGTCCAGTTGCTCTCTCATCTCATCTCAGGTTAATCTCGTTAAAAACGGTTAGCCGGAAAACGGAAAGTCCTTCCGTAACGGGCTCCTGTTTCCCAACGAATTTCCTTCATTATGTATGATCGGAAATAACGCGCTGGTGAGAGAAGCGCGACACGCGTGCGAACGCTGATTGCATTCCACGGTTGCGATGAGAATGCTGATGGAAGCGGAGGGTATTCGCGTTGATCACGAGACTCCCGGGAAATGACGGCCTGATTCACACTCAGACGATCGAAGATCGAGTCAGGGAAGACTCGATTCACCTTTTCATATGTTAATTTTCCTCTTACTTTCTTACAATGTTGGATAATACTTGTAATCGCATCGGCCGATATTCATCTTTCAATCGTCCGCTCACTTTTTATATTTTATTCTTTATTTTTTCAATTCAACGAGGTAATCATTTCTCTGATATTATAAAAAACGAGTGCAAAATTACCTTTACTTACTTAATTAAATGAAACGTTATTTGTTATTCAGTTTGAATAGGAATAGCGCTTAGGGACGTTGTACATTTTTCTTTAATTTATATTATTTATATTTAACTAGATTTGATTTTTAATTTACAACAGACGCCTTCGTTTTCTGAGCGTTGATTTATCGGTCAGCGATCAGACAGTCTGATCGCCGTAAGAGCCCGCTCGTTCACGCGATCACGCCGTATTGAAAATTTTGATCGTCTCTCGAGGCGCGAATTACAACGCTACATTACTTCGAAAGTCTTCTCCTCTCGCGCGAAATTTTAAACGATAAAATGTCCATCTTTTTCCTTGCACGGCATAGCGAGCTCCCGTCGTTTCCCACGAAAAAGCGGAACTCACGATCGATGATAGCGTCGACTTAATCGACACATAATGTTCTTCTCTCAAACTCCCGACGAACGAAAATATAACGGAGTGGCGGCTCGATTCCTGTTTTCTTTTCCACTATGAAAACTCCTGGAATCTTCATTTTATCGCGTGTCGCTATTTCTTGTATCGCAATATTAACTACATCGACGTGCTGTATTTCGATAGTTCTGTCGAGTTAGATAACACGCGCGATTGCAAGTTTACGTGTCATTTAATTTGCAGCATTTAACATTTACGACAAAAGCGTCCTACGCACTATTCCGATAATAGCGTACACACACGATAAATAGACCACGTTAATTGCCACTGCCGCGACGCACAATAGCATTTTAACAAGCCCGTAAGAACTTTACGATAGGCACGCAATCGCCGTCTATCGCTTGATGTGCGCCCGTTGATGCCGATTAGATTCGCGTTTTACCGCCGCGCCGGGCGTAAATCTCAACTTCATTTCTTTCGCAGCTTTACAGCTCGCGAATCGTCGACGAGAGAGGCGCGCATCGGCCGTCGCGTTCGGTTTTCGAACGCAGGAGCGTTGTTCTGGGAGAAGAAACAAACGATATTCGGAATAGTTTTATCACACGGGGGGAGGGGCAGAGCATAATGTTCACTTTTGCATTCTCCCGCATTGTTTATGCGTTGTTGCTTATGAAATATTTTATTTATACCGTATCGTTTTATTCGTCTGCGTTTTATCCGATCATTTTGTTATTCTATGGGTTTTATTATGTCCACTTATGGATTTTGCTTGTTTACGACTGATCATTATTATTTATATCCCTCTCGTATTGACAAATTATTAAAGCGCGGAATTGTTTTCTCGTACAGCCTCCATTCACAGTCTGGCCACCCCTTTCGGCTCGCTGATGTCAGGCCCGCTCATCGAGGCGATCGGCCGCCGAGGCTGCCTCCAGCTGTCGGCGATACCAATTTGCGTGGGCTGGCTGATCATCGGCTTCTCGAGGAGCGTGACTTCTATTTTAGTAGGAAGGGTCATCTGCGGCCTATCCGTCGGCTTGATGGCAGTGCCCGCGCAGGTGCAGTATTTTAAAACGCTCGTAATCAGCAAAATTCTTCTCGTTGCACCTCGCGAGCGGCGCGCGATGCGTCAGCTGAATATTTGATAATGAATCTCGCCAAGTTAAATCCAAATTGCGAGAGAGAGAGAGAGAGAGAGAGAGAGAGAGAGAGAGAGAGTCGCGTTTTATACATACGTACGCAGGGATTACATTTTTGCATAAATTTTTGAAAGGACGTATACACGTTGTTATTCGATAGGTATTTTATACGTTTATATTAATTATATTATTATATGTTACTTGCTAAATATTTGCTAAATATTTGCTAAATACAATAACGTAACATACGTTATAATTACCGTCATAATTATAGGACTTTGAGATATCATATAATTAGATAATATTGCATATTTCAATATGAATTCAGTTAGTCTGATCCAGATTGAATTACGTTAAAATAGCAAACAATGAAACTGGATTTTCCGTGGAGCTGCGACAATGGCGGACGAATTAATCGATGAAAAAATTTTAATCGACCGAGATAATCGGCAGATCGATAATCAAGATCAAGTCGCGATACGTATAACCACGAATGATGCAATCGACAGAGAGAATTAATTATTGATCGATACGTAATCAACGTGAAATCAACGTAATCGATTGAAACGCTCATTCACATCATCACGTTATCAGGTACCTTTGATCGCTCTTAGAGCACTTAGACGGATTAAATATGAAGAATCGCTGAAGTTGGGTGCTTATTTCTTTTTAACGATCACACAACGTCATTCCAGTGCTTCTTAAATTTTTTTAATCGATTAACGCCCGACATTATCCAGTCATTCTCGGTACTTGACGATGCGCAAGTCACATGATGGTGAATTTTACGCTTCTTGAAATCCGTGAAGAAACCTCGAGATAACACGAGACATTTTTAAACAGCCTCGTTCGCGAAATGATACTCCAAATATTACAGACACTCGTCATCGGTCAAAGAAATCGTATCGAATAGGAATTCGGATGATCCGCGTTTACCTGTTCTCATCTGCAAATCCGTGTCAGGTGTGGCTAGGAGAAACGGCGGACACAGGTCTCCGCGGCGTCCTGGTGTGCGGCGGCTTCGCCGCGTACTGCTTGGGTATTCTGCTGGTTTATATTCTCGGCGCCTCCTTCAACTGGGACTTGGTGGCCTTCTACGGGATCGCACTCCCCGTCTTCTCCTTCATCGCGTTCTGCCTGCTGCCCGAGAGTCCTGTCTGGCTCATCAAACGGAAGAAAATCGAGAAGGCCCGGAAGGCGCTTCTTTGGCTACGGGGTGGAGATGCCGAACAGGTGAAGCAATACTCCCCCATGGACTCGCGTCCTGGTGACGCGGGGAATCCGAATCTCGGAGCGATGAACTGACTTCGACTGGTCTCATTGATTAACAGACGAACACGGAGGTGGCGATGCTGGAAGCGAGGATAACGGCCGACCTAGTCGAGAGGCAGCGTCAGGTCGTGGACGTCTCGCTGAGGCAACGCATCTCCTCGATGATGTCCGTCGTCCGGGACCCGGGCGTGCTGAAGCCGCTGATCATCATCAACGTGTTCAATATTCTCCAATTGTGCAGCGGGACCTACATTATCGTATTCTACGCCGTCAACCTCGTCCAAGATATGGGTGAGCGGATGAGTCCAATTTTCAAATCTGCCTTGCGTCTCTTTGATCCTCGACTCGCATGTCGCTTCTTCCTGCTTCGGGAGTAGACGGGACCGGTGAACATTTTTTTCATTCAGCCTGCCAATGCTCACGATGATCGGTCAATGTCACGCAGAGATAGGCTTCCGACCGAAAAGCGCGTACCGAAAATCCGTTTACCGTTCTTTACCTTCTTGCAGACGGCGGCAGCGTCGACAACTATCTTGCAGCTGTGGTGACGGCTGTCGTGAGATTCGTCTTCTCCATCGTCTCTTGCGTCATGTTCCTCCGGATAAGGAGACGAATCGTAGCTATTAGCTCGGCGCTCGGCACGGCTGTCGCCTCGCTGGTGCTCGCAGGATACATGCTCGCAAGGCAAGAAGGATCCTCCGTGGATGTGAGTACGCCTATACATAGTCTCGGAAAATCGGAACTTTAAAACTCGCAAAATGAAAAAGTTTCTCGGAAAGTAGCGAAGTTCGAGCGGGGGAATGCCTTGAAAATTCTCTTCAAGTACACTGCAAACCCGAGTGTGTTATTTGGACACGTGTAAGCTGAAGCTTATTTTTCACGCGTTTCTTGTCGTCCGAAATCACGTCATTTGATGCATTTCGGTGTCACTTGACGCGTTTAAACGCGTTAAACGACGTGATTTAAGACAAGACAAGATACGCGTAAAGGAAGCTTCAGCTTATACGCGTCGAAATAACACACACTCGGGTTTGCAGTGTATACACGAGTAACATGCCGTTGAGTCAGAATTAATAGAACAACAAGGTTGTAAGCGGAGGAAACCTCCTCTCGAGTCAAGAGCAACAAGCTCCCCAGAAACAAGCTCGGAACGGTTGACTGATGGATCCGGTTTGATCGATGGGCGGTTGGTTTCAGTCGTACCTGTTGGCCACGTTCCTGCTGGTCTACGTGGCCGCGAACACGGTGGGTCTGGTGACGCTTCCGGCGCTGATGGTCGGCGAGCTGATACCGATGCGGGCGCGCGGCATCGGCGGCGGCTGCTGCTTCTTCATCTTCAACCTGTTCATGTTCCTCATCACCAAATGCTTCCCAGCGGTAAGACTCACAGGACTCGGTAGAATCCGGTCGGACTCGGCTCTTTCTCTCCTCACCTTTCGTCGGGGAGATAAAAGTTTCACGACGGCGGAATATTCATTTCGCTGGTCAGCTCCCCGATCGAAGTGACGTCTAGCAACGTGCACGCTTGCACAGCGCTGTCCGCTTTGTCGAGAAGCTTGACGATCGAATCCTTCTTCCAGGTGAACAACGCGATTGGCGTGACCGGGATCTTCACCGTCTTCGGCATCTTCAGTCTATTGGTGGCAATTTTCCTCTACCTCTTTCTACCGGAAACCAAGAGCAGCACGCTCGAGGAGATCGAGGATTATTTCAAGGTAAGGAGGATCTGCTCGAGTAATGAAGTGAGCTCCTATATCGGTCGGAGTGATGGATTGCGGTGCGCTCAGTTCGAATGTGTCTTTACAGCAAAGTAATCTGCTTTGGGTGACGAGGGAGGGAAACCAAAGGAGGAACACGATCACGGTGGATAAAACTTGAGCGTTCATCTTTCCTTTTCTCACCCTCTCTCTCTCTCTCTCTCTCTCTCTCTCTCTCTCTCTCTCTCTCTCTCTCTCAGAGCACGTGTAAATAAATACGATATGTAACTAGCGTTAGATTGTAATTTATATTCGACTACGGCGTTAATCAACCATACGTCTCGTTATATGATATATTTTTTTATATTGAAATGAGATTTGCGATTGTGTAGATAATGATGTTTTTATATCACTATTTTGTATCGTAAGGTATTTCTGTAACTCGTCGAAGTGAGAAAACGCTACAACTCGTCGCGCCACGTGCACGCGCGACGTCGATCAAATTTTTAATCGAGGAAAACTTCACTCGATCTTTGTGTCACTCACGTTTTGAATAAAACGATATCTCTCACGACGATTGTGACCCCGTCATGTTTCCTCAATAAGACAGTCGCGACATTCTTGCGATAACACGAAACGGAAACGGTTGCGTCAAGCCCGCAGCACGTTCAATAGGCGTGAGTATTCCTTTTTTTCCTTTTATTTCAGTTTATTAACGTACTTTTACAGATATGACTTTTCGACGAGGTCCACCGGCATGATATATTACTGTCGGCACTCATATGTGATATCGGACACGCATACACACGCATGGTCTGTCTCGCTGGGACAGGATTTATTACCTTTTCGCTCGACTTTTCCCTCTCTTTTTCCTTTTTCCTCCTTTACACACGTATATTGTATATCGTATATGTTGTTATATAATGTTGCTACATAGCGTCACGTTTCAACATTACGTTTGAAATATTCGCGGCTACACACATATATCATCCATACGATCTGCAAAACGCGACAACTGTGCCATGTTTAGCGTATCCTTTATCGTTACGGGGTACGGGTATCGATTCACGGTACACAAACCTCTCTCGTCCTTCGGATTAGACCGCGCCTGGCATTACTTGTAAACGTGATCACAAAATATATACGGTTGTTTCACGTTACATTTTACAAGCAGCCGGAACTTAGTCCGCGAACGGTGAACTGTGCGACATTACAACGCGCGAGGACCCTAATCCTTTAAGCGTGAGGATTGCGGAATTTCTCGCCGGCGTATTTCGCGGCGGGGCCCAGCTCCTCCTCGATACGCAGGATCTGGTTGTACTTGCACAAACGCTCCGAGCGGCAGGGCGCGCCAGTTTTGATCTGGCCAGTCGAGAGGCCGACTACCAGGTCGGCGATGAACGTGTCCTCCGTTTCGCCGGAACGATGGGACACCATAGTGCCCCAACCGTTGCTCTTGGCGAGCTTGTGAGCGTTGATCGACTCGGTCACGCTGCCGATTTGGTTGACCTTCAGCAGCAGACAGTTGCAGGCCTTCTTCTCGATGGCTGTCTTGATCCTGAAATCGTCGAAATCCTGCTGTTTTAAGCAACTTCGTCGCGTTCGTTGGATAAAATTGAAAACAGGACCACATAATTTCGTAAAAGTACGAATAACTTTGGCAAACATAAATATTCAGCAATATTGATCCTTTAGCGGACACGAGGTCCTTCCGTTTCTTCCTTTTCTTTTTTAATATCTAAATCGATCACTTTAGTATTCATCAGCATTTAATAAAAAACGACAAGTCTCTCGCGTTAACTTAATAATATAAACTTTGTGATAAATACTATAAATAATATAATTGATATAATGAATATATGGGAAGAAAGATCGGTCGAATTAATGCGACAACAACAGAATCAAACGCTTCTTGATGAAAAAAGACAAAATTTCTGCTTGTTAGAATTCTAAAGCAGGAACTGTCAAATGGGATGACACTTGAATTCAAGTGTTACCTCTCAGGGTTAGTGACGGTGAGGTCATCACCGACAATCTGAATAGGGGTAGACGCGGTCATCGAGGTCCAAGAGTCCCAGCCGTCCTGATCGAAGGGATCTTCGATCGACACGATCGGGAATTCCTTGACGAATTCCAAGTACAGATTCTTCAATGCTTCAGGCTCCAAGTACGTGCTCGGGTCAGACTTTTCGTTCTTAAAGTCCAAGTCGTACTTTCCGTTCTTATAGAACTCGGACGCGGCGACGTCCATGCCGATCTTGATCTTCCCTTCGTAGCCGGCAGCCTGAGAAGTTCAGCGTGAAGTTATCACGAGCTACCGATCATCTTGAAATGACTGTGCTAAAATGTGTCTTTGACACAAATTCTCTCCTCTACCTTGATGGCGTCCATGATCAGGTTGAGAGCTTCTTTGTTCTCCAAGATGTTCGGCGCGAAACCACCCTCGTCACCGACGGCCGTGGCGTCAAGGCCGAACTTCTTCTTGATGCCCGCCTTCAGGTAGTGGTAGACCTCGCTGCCCATCTTCATGGCTTCCGTGAAGTTGCTCGCACCGGTCGGCAAGATCATGAACTCCTGCATGGCCAGCTTGTTGCCGGCGTGAGAGCCACCGTTTATCACATTGAACGCCGGCACCGGCAGGATAATCTCCTTGTTGCCGGCCAACTCGGCGATGTAGCTGCAACACGAATGTTCTCGTTAACTCGACGAAACACGCAAGAAGACAAGCTCGCGACTCGATTACGCGACGTCTTGTAATCAGCAATTCCGGATTTTTCAGGTAAAACGAGCCGACTGAACTTGTATCTCATTATGATCATCGTACAAAACAACAGGCTTGTGTGTTTTAGCTAAACTAGTACTGCACTGGAACCTTGTTTCTCTTCATGATCGAAAGAGGATATGCATCGTTTCGTGGAATTGCAACAACATACACACTCGTACAATCGTTTCATTTCACGGAGCAACTCCGAGATTACTTCTTCATCACACGCTCCGACGCTTACTTGAAGAGGGACACGCCCTTCTTCTTGGCCCCAGCCTTGCAGATCGCCAGGGAGACACCCAGGATCGCGTTGGCTCCTAGCTTGGACTTGTTCGGTGTGCCATCCAATTGTAACATGAGGTTATCGATCTCCGTTTGTTGCGTAACGTCTAGATTCGACTGTAGAACAGAAAACAGACGGTCAGCCTGTCTCCCGGCCCCGATAATCGTCGCTATTACGTAAGTAGACGCTTTCGCTGTTCAACTAGGAAGCGATACCTTCAATAACGCAGGAGCGATGATGGAATTGACGTTCTCCACGGCCTTGAAGACAGATTTGCCATGGTACATGGACTTGTCATTGTCCCTCAGCTCCAAGGCCTCGTGAACCCCGGTGGACGCGCCCGATGGCACCGCAGCGCGGAAGAGTCCCAGTTCATTGACGATGTCGACCTGAAAGAGATGACACCTGCCGTTAGGGAGGTTTTAGAGGGAAACGTCGTGTTTCCTCTGAGATAATTACATAATACTTTCATAATTAAGCAACGTATGCTACCTCTATCGTGGGATTTCCACGAGAATCGTAGATCTGACGAGCCTTGATGCTTTGGATCGGCATCCTGACGTGTGTCAATGTAAAGTATCTCGCTGCGGCTTGGAAGCTGCAAGCAGCGCAAAAAATTGAAGCGGTGATACACATTTATCTCTTACCTCGTTACATTTTGCGCTCAACGACACATTCGTCGCCTTGCTTTATACGCTGTACGATATGACATCCGCCTGGCAAGCTCCTCATTATTACGTTATCAGATAAGAAGCGGGCCTCAATGAGTGGCTGTCGAATCACGCGTGATGTCTCAAAAATGACGTATTGCGAATAAAGAGAAACGCCGGTGAGATCGAGGCGGGTCTCCGTTGACCTTCGCGCCGGAGAAGTCGACCTTGTCAAGGTCATCGCAAGGAGCCGCCCGTAGCCCGGTGAGAGAGCGACAATTATTCCGCGATCGAAGACGCGATTTTATCCTGGGAGGAGCGCACAGCTCGCGCGATCTCACGATCCTGAAGGATTTTGCGACTTGCTTTTGGAACGAGAGGTGACTACCGGCACGTAACAGCAGCATTTTCGCCGAGAACTCGACCGTGCGGAGATAAAACTCGCGCGTTCGCAGGAATCGCGAGGATTCGACAATCGCACGACGCGAATTTGTGGACAAAGGCGACGTTTTTTTCACAAATATACCGGCTATCGTTTTGAGTGACTATGCTCACCTAAGACGACACGCGCGACAATCCGCTCGGACCGTTCGACGGTGAATGAGATTTGACCTAGCTGGTGACCTCCCGTTCTGTTGCGAGCGACGAGATATCGATTGTGAGAGTCGAGCGAGAGGTTAGAACGAAGGGGTGGTCGCGATATTCGTCCGCCGCGACTCGCCATGGACGTTGGAATTGTAATTGTTAATGTGCGGATTAAGTAACTGTCAGTAAGTGTGCTTTGAAAAATTGACGATTTATCGCTCGTTAATATCGCCCGTCATTTGCATCCACGTAGAATTTCTCATTGTTTCTTCCGCAGTGAATTACATAACGAGCGAGGTGTGCAGGAATTTTAGCGCACGCTCTCTGGGATATCAGTTTATAGTGAACAGCCAATAGCGAAGAGACCTTGTGCGGTCCACGAAATCGATTGGTCGAATCTGAAGAGATGCAAACGTACCAACTGCCTTCGATTGCCGTTAGAAACCGCTCTTAATGGTACTGACGGTGTCATTTTGTCACAATGCCTTCGCCGCTGTAATATTTAAAAGAAGATAAACAAACCCTAATGTGTGTGCATTTTTCAGAAAAAAATACGAAGGATAAAATGTTTGCAAAAAGAGAAACTAGAATGAAAGGTCCTAGAATTACATGTCGACGTGGTCACCTGATTATCAAGACAGACGCTTTCTGCTCTTGCGACTTTCGTTTAAATAAATATTTCATGCGAATATATGTTGAGATCAAACTACCGCGTGTGACGCGTGAACGCGCGTCCAGAAAATGACGTAGCATCGTGAAACGATGCTCTTGCCATCAGCCTGGCTCCAGTACCGGTCAGGGAGAAAACTCCGATTGGCAACATTGTGTTCCCAGCGTTAGATTGAAATACATTTCGAAGGCGAGCGGACCGTTTGTTCGCCGTTATCAAGCGGATAAATCGGGCGTGATTGTGAAACCGTACTCGCGGGTCATTACGAGGTCATTGCGGGTCAGTTCGATTTTAATCGGAGGAGTGAGAAGAATGTCGGAGAAAGTGAAGAAAACGGAAGATAGAAAGAAATCGCCAATAATTAAGGGACAATATAAGACTTATCGCCGTCAACTCTCGGCGATAAGAACAATATCAGGGCCAAGCTTGCTCGTAAATTGCAAGACAGCCGCAAGAAACGCAGGACACAGGAGTTTGAGAAGAATCGCGAAACGGAAACCACACAAAACGGTAAGTCGATGTCGCGATGAAGTCGCTCGTTGCGAGATTATTCACATCGAGGCTCGCATGCTCTGCGATTTTGTACGCTTGTCTACACTAGGAAAAGTGTATTGTTGCATGAACCAAAATTTTGTTGTAACAACAAAATAATTTGGTTAAAATATGCCCAACAAAACTGTTCAGTTCCTGTTAAACAAATATCTTATTTGATTACGGTTTGTTCGTATAACGTAATACTTTTGTTATAGCAACCAAAAAGCTTTAACTATATGAATTTTGTTAAAAATACTACGATTTTTTCTTAATATGTAAAATCTAAATTTTAGTGCACAGAAAGACAAAATAGCATCCATTGGGCGTTATTTTAGTTTATGTAAAATAATATTTCGTTATTATGTAATTTTTATGGATAAAATAACTAAAATGCTTAATTTTTTTATACATGAAGTCTAAGAACAAAATCATTTGGTCCAGAGAACAAAGCAGAAAAATATATTTAGTTGGGACAACTAAATATTTTGTTATATAAAACAAGATATTTGATTGCTATTGAAAAATGCCTCAACTAAACAGTTTTGTTAGAGATACTAAATTTTTTTCCTAGTGCCCGTTTCCTAGATCCCGTTTCCCTCGAGCTGGTTCGCTGTAATCAACAAGTTTTTCTGCTGTTTACATGCTGGGATATTATTCATAGTACATGTATATTGTGTATAAAATGAGAGAACACGATTATTATATCCGATGAAAAGATTCGACTGATCGATCGATGTGAAAAGCGCGTATTTCTTAACAGCCCGCCAGATAAATTAATTTTTAATTGGTCAATTTTTAATTAATTAATGATTCGCTCGTAAAACAGCTCGAAGCGCATCGCGAATGCTTCTCCTTCGCGATGCACTTGGAAACGCAGTCGACGCCTGAGGAAAAATTTTTCGAGCAATTTTCTGAAAACGTTTTTTTAACGTCCTCTCGATTCTACAAGAGACCATGTGCTCAAAATTCTAAAGATTCAGAAGAAATTGTCCGATTGGATAGCAGAGCGGCAGAGGAGGAAAAAACTAGAAAAGCAAAAATTGAAAAAAAAACCGCCGTTTAAAGTTGGAATTGTCCCGCCGCATCTATTCTCCGGTTTCTTCTTCTAATACTTCAGCCGCGGCGACGACAACCATAGAAAAGAAGCCAACAGCGCAAATTCACGCAAAGCCTAACGTTAGAACTGGAATCACCAAGGTCACGCAAAAGCGTCTAGCTGAAAAGGCAACGAAAACCATAAAACAAACATCGGTCTCGGTGAAAGACTTGCGGACATCTCCCAAGGCTGGCACGATCAAGGCTGATAAAGTCAATACTAAAGAATGTTTACATTCTTTCGACTCTACAGCTCCAGCCAATTTTAAATTCAACTTATCGACGTTATCTGTAACAAATGTATTTACGTCGAGTACGCCTAACGGTCCTTTATTCGGAAAAACGTCGATAGAGGAAATAAAGTTGTCCCCGAAGAGCGATACCTTCGAGTACGAGGAAACGACGGGACATCTCAACACTGATGTCGGCTCGATTACTATTGAAACAATCAAGTTGCAGGTGTCGTCGGATGAACAGAAAATCTTAGATTCCTCGAGGGAGAAGCAGTCGAGTCTTACGAAAAGTTCATGGTCGCGCGACACGAGCAACACGAAGTCACACCAATCATCCCAAGTGTCTTCGTTCACTTCTTTCGTCGTGACAGTTGTGGAGAAAGACAACGCGAAAGGTACGCTTCCAGTGTCTACCGATGTTGTTAAAGACGATGTCCGAGGAGAACAAGAGGCCAGTCCTAGCAACGATCAGTCTTCAGGGTCGGCCGACCTGTCGCTGTCGCGGGACGTGCAGCCTGCCGACGTCCTAACGGAGAAGCAGAAGCACACCGTGCAGCACTTCAAGCAGCAGTTGCAGCTGGAAACGGAAAGGCTGCAACAACTCTGCCAGCGATGGACAGAGGTCCAGTCGCAGGACGACACCACGGAGGAGGCCCAGCAGCTCATCAATCAGGAGATCGGGCAGACGAGTCTGCTGATCAACGAGAAGTTCCAACAATTCCGCGACTTGCTGACGAAGTGTGAAACAGGCAGCTCTAATTTGCCGATCAACTGCACGGACCTACAGGGCTTTTGGGACCTGACATACATCGAGGTGAAGGATTGCGACTCGCGCTTCGCGAGGCTCGAGAGGCTCCGCGCCGCTCGTTGGCGGGAGAAGGAGCCGAAACCCGCAAAGTCCCGTAAGGAAATCGTCGCGAAGAAGAGCAGGAAGTTTGCGAAGAAGAAGACCGCACCGGTGAGGCACAGCACGTTGCGAGAACTGATCTCGGCCGAGAGGAGGAAGAAGAGAGCGGAGATGCAGAATAAGCAGGGCAAGACAGCTATGAGTGACCCTGGTCGGTCTTGGACACGTTGGATAAGTGCGTCACGAACAATAAGAGGCTCACGAGCGTATCTGAAAGAAGTTTAAAGGTGATGCAGCATGAAAACACCTCGGGCAAATGCTCGAAGAGAATAAATACGTCGACACCGGCGCACCGCAACATTGACCCGAAAACCTTCCACTGACTCAGCACGCCGTTCATTACGATGAAGATAAGCCAATTGTCTAACAAGTCGACGCTGTTGAATGACACGATACAGCACGCCAATCGGACACCTGGACCGGACACAGTCGTGAAACCGAGTGGGTCGGCGACGAAGAGTCTGAATATAAGATCGAAGCTTCAGATGGACGACAGTCCGGTTTCGTGAGCGTCCCTCGACGAGGAGTCGGTGAAGGTTAAGCAGGAGGTCGACCGAGATTCGATGAATGCGTCGGAGAAGATGAATGATTTCGTTAGCAAGCCATATTTGCTTGAGCGCGTTTGCACCGAAGAGAAGCTGGACTTTTACTCTCCGCCAAACGACTCGATTTTCGTATTCCAGTCCATGAACGATAAGAACAGCAGTATCTTCTCGTCTCTAAAAGATCCTGACAGCGACAGTGGCACTCTAGTTGAATCTAGCAGACTCGATAGATCCCAAGAGGACTCGACAATGAAGTTGCTCGTGGGGAACTCGAAGAGTCAGACAAGTGAAAATGCAGAGTTGTCGGGAAACTCAGCCCGTAGATTTCTTCACACCGCTCAAAGGCAGGAACGTCACGTTGCTGCCTTTGAGGAGAAACTCTAGTTGCTGAATCTAATGGTGAGTTGTTCGCTTCGAATTGGGTCGCGTAGTAATTAATAACACGAATAACTAAGATATCTTGAATAGTATAAGTCTAGTTATAAGTCATTAGCATATATAAAGAACCTCAACTCCTAATAAAGTTGCATCTGTAATGTCCAGTCTGCATAAATCGTAAGTTACAAGACGCAAATTGCAGACGCAGAACATTAACTAAAACACATAAAAATTGAATCACGAGTCTTATTTGGCACCGAGGGGCCTCGTATTATTAATTACTGCGCAGAATTATCAATGCGTTATTGTTAATTATCAATGTAACTGTATTCATTTCAGTCTCATTTCAGTTGAACTCTCAACTGTCTCATTTCAGTTGAATCCTGATGTCGCAGGTGACATAGCTGATGGCGTTGCATCGTCGGACACGGAGCGACGCGATCCGTGAGAGAATCCCCATGGAATCTCGTCTTGAGAAATCTCGTTTTTATAATATTTGATATTTTATATTTTATAGTATTATAGTGTGGACGCGATGTTTGCGCTGCTTGAAGATTCCAGAAACAAAAGAGAAAAGAATGAAATAAGTTATTATCCCAGTGATTCTGATACCGTTGCGCGTTCACGACGATTGTATAGTAGCGACGGATGTAAAGAGAGGCGAATTGTTTATTTAATCTTTCCCCAAATACTCTTCGATACAGTTCACAAATAAATATATACAGACGTAACTGAGCACATTTACAACGGTTTCGTAGTGAAATCTGTGTGGTCGCCGCCTCGCACCGATGTAGTACAGAAGCGAAACGCTGTCTCGGGATTTCTGTCGCGCAAGCTGAATGTGGCGGGAGGAAGGGGAGATGGGGAGGATTTTTGGCCGCACGCGCGCGAGTCGCGATATACAATATATATATATATATATCTCGTATATAAATAAATATATGTATATATATATGTATATATATATATATATATATATATATATATATATATATATATTAAGACCTAAACTAATTTATATAAATAAATCACTTAGGTACGCATCGTAGGTAGAGAGAGCTGGCGTATTAATTCGCCGTTTGCCGACTCGCGAAACGGCGGTAATACTAAACGGGATCCGCGTAACCGGACGTGCACGCCCGTTGTCCTGTGGTCCTGTGGATCCGACTGACGGCCGAGTGGAATCTAATAATCCGATCAGGCGCGAAGAGATTCTCTCTCTTTCTCTCTCTTTCTCTCTCTCTCTCTCTCTCTCTCTCTCTCTCTCTCTCTCGCGAGTGTCGCGAAATAATCGCCGCCTCTACCAATAAATATCGCGTTTAAATACGCGTTATCTACAAAATATCGTCTCGCGACCGCGCGAGAGCGTGGGTACACGAACACTGGGGAGGAGATATTGTACGTATTAATTATCATTAACGATTACAACGAGCCGAGGACGAGCATGTGCCCCGACAACGCGAGCCAAGTTGCGACCGAACGCGCTCGGCGCGTCTCCTCGATCGCACGATCGATCGCGCCTGCTTGCGTGCGTGCGTTCGTTCGTTCGTTCGTCGTTCCCTTCATCTGTCCGTCGATCCTTAAGCGAAAATATCCTCGAACGACGCCCACGACGCGATCTCACGTGTGCTCCATAGCTTACAGATTAGAATGGATTTTATTCATTAATCTAACTTAACATATCTCTCTCTCTCTCTCTCTCTCTCTCTCTCTCTCTCTCTCTCTCTCTCTCTCTCTCTCTCTCTCTCTCTCTTGCTCGCTCGCTCGCTCGCCCGCTCTCTCTGTCTCGGTAAACACGGGAATTCGTCGTTCGCGATGACGCTGAGAAAGAACTGATTCCGGCGAACTGCGTTTACATGATGTCAGCGCTGGTGGGATCGAATAACCGAGAAGTATTTTTTCTTTCATCACATCAGCTCGCTTGACCTTTCCTCTTCACCCTTCCTGCTTAAACCCTACCTGCCCCGCGATCGTAAATATATAATCCTCTATATTCTACTCACCAGCACGTGTCGGGTGAATTGTCGGCGAGTTTACGTCGTTTAGCTCGATGTGTGCTAATAAAATTTGGTCGGGCTCCCCCCTCTCGGTCGTTCCTCCCTCATCAACAGTCACGATATGCTGCTTTAACATTTGTACGACGTAGAATTAATTTGCGTAATCGAGAGTAACTCTTAAGGATAACGGTGTGACACATCGACATTTACTCGTACTTGTCGGAGCTTCAGCGCGAGTCTCGAGTTCTCTTAATTGTATAGCTCTGTCGTTAAAAGAGGCTCGTCCGAGGCAATCCGCTCGCTCTCGCGAGCGTCCGTCGTCCGCGACTGAGAGGTATTGTCTGTTACGGTTGTCACATCAACGAGATGAATATCCTGCCAGCTGCTCGGACTTGTAGTAACAATTATCATTACGCCGGAGGCGCTCGAGACATCTAGATCGTTTCGTCGAATTACCTATAAGCTCGATCGGGTCCTTTCAATCAGACACCTTCGCGTCTTAACGCGGGGGACGTCAGGAGCTCGGGGGCTTTTAGATTCAGCGTGATGGTTCTCTCGGTGTCTCGTCGACGACGACAATCATTCCGTTTGAATCGCGAACAAGCAAGTCGCGTGCAATTCGCACGCGTTCCGACGAGCGCGCGACGCAGTTCCCTCGTGTCGTCTTTCCTTCAACGTTCTCCTCGCTATTTCTCAGTCATTCATCACGTCATGAGAGGCCACGGATAACAAAGATCTAACTATCTCAAGAACGCATCAGAAGCACGCATCATCGGGAACGTTCCGAGTCGCGGCGCACAGGGTGCGCCAACGCGCGCGCGCGCGCGCTCGCGTAATTCCCACCATCCGCCTACTCGACGAATCTCGTTCTCAGCACGGCCGCGGCCGCCCACTAAGCCAAGTAAGTCCTGGGATTAGCCTTGGAGATGCCCGGCGAGTCGCTCTTGGTGGTGCACGACCAGGTTTCCTCGGCCAGGCTGCCGTACCTCTGCACGCCCGGGAACGGCGGACCGGAGCTCTGCGGCGAGTAATAGCCGCCCTGCAGCTGATAGTAGTTGCCGGACTGCTGCTGCTGTTGCTGTTGATACTGATACTCGGCTGCGAGGACGTTGCTGTAGCCCGAATAAGAGCCGTACTGGGACGACGAGTACGACGAGGAGTAGCCGCGCTCGCTCAAGCTGCGGTAAGGCCCCGGGTGGTGGGGCCTACCCTCTTGTCAGACCGGGGTGCTCACCGCCGCCGTGCTTATGTACTCGATGTCGCCGATGCTCTTGACCCGACGGTGCCGTTTGCCGCCCGTCATCGGCCGAGGCGGCAGCTGCGGCGGCGGCGGTGAGTTGCTGCGCACGCTGCTCATGTATTGGCACTGGCTGGCGAGGCTGCCGGTGTCCGAGGACGACGACGGTGACGCCTTCTCGCTTCTAGGCCGGAGACCGAACGCTCTGCTCAGGGATCCCTGCGAAAAGCATCACGTGTCTGGGTGAGTGATCGCTGCGGGTCGACCGAGCGCGACGGGTCAAGCGGTGGATCTCGACTTCCCGGCTCGGTGAGGTCGAAGCTACGGGCGAACGAGAGCGGAGTCCCGGGCGGACGCCCGAGAGTGCCGAGAGAGTTCTGCGGGGGTTTGCAGCGCGAATGTCCGAGTGATGAGCTGCGAGAAAACGTCTAAGGAACGTCGGCAGGTACCTTCAGACGGTTCTTAGACGTCTCCGTCGCCGAACGTCTCTCGCGTTGTTCGCGGGAGTTACGTGTTGGAGGAGTGAGACAAGCGTGGGGCGAGGGGGAGGGGGGGGGGTGCTCGGAAATTTGAATAGCGATTTTTGCTGCTGGTTCAAGTATCTCCCGCTCCCGCTGTTTTTTCCGGTGTCCTCTATTGCTGAATTTTAATTAATTTGAGAACTGATTAATTAATATTTGTACGTTTGTACGATATAAAATTAAATAATTCGATTGAATCTTTAAATAAATGTAACAACATGTTTCAACTCCATCGTTCAGTTTCATCAAATTAGCGTTCAATGATTGATGATTAATTACGGTTGAACTTAATTAATGTACAAGACAACATTATTTATTTGTGAAATTCAATTATTTCTGTCATTCAATTCAATAAATTTAATTGTTTCGCTTAACTTTAACATTTGCTGTGGAAATCGAGTTTCTCGCGCTCTTGTCGCAGGAGAGAGCGCGACATCGCTATTTAAATTTTCTCAATGCTGTCCTCCATTAGCAGCGGAGAACCAGCGAGTAGGTTTCAGTAGAGATGAGCAGTCGGGATGAGCAGAGTGAGATCGTTGCATGATTGCAGACACGACGCAGGAAGGATGCACGTGCTACGACAAAGTGGAGCGTTCGCAGTTCTCGCTTCTCGTCACTTCGCAAACAGACGTCGGCGATCGGCGCGGGATTCGCTGCCGATCGCGACGATCGAAGACGAGCTGTGCGAGCAGGATCGCCGGGAGAAGTGACAACACTAATACAGGGGGATAGCGTACGTACTTGACTGTATGTTAATGGCGCATACCTGTGAGCTTCTCCACGACAACTAGTAAAGGACGAAATAAGGTCGATTAAGAATCCACACACGTTGAATTTCCACATTGAAATCGTCAGTTTATATTTACACAATCGATTATGACGGGCGCGGGGCGCCGCGAGCCCCTCGCAGTCATAAGTAATGGCTCGTTATAATTAGTACGTTCTCTCTCTCTCTCTCTCTCTCTCTCTCTCTCTCTCTCTCTCTCTCTCTCTCTCTCTCTCTCTCATCTATCTCCCTCAAATGTTCTCTTTCAGCTACGTAATTAATTCGAGCTGCATAATGCAATTTTAACCGCTACTCGCTATGAAGATGTGCCTTGAGACACGGGACACTCTGGTTACATACATGAGGAGGACACGTGTTTAGCTAATATATGCTCGTTATATACAGTGTTTACAGTGTGGCATAGCGTGTACACATCGGTGTACTTGGCGCTGAGAACGGGGGGTGTAATCGTGGGATTAGGAAACGACGCGCGCGATCGCATCGCGGCTGAGTAATCGACGGATTTCCGAACGGCTCGCGGGAGAGGCAGTTCTCGCCCTCTCTCTCGACGCTGCGAAGCTCTACGCTACGATGCGGAGGAACAATCGCGACGCGAAATCGCCCGCGATAACGGCGAACGAATCGCCAAGGAAATTCGCGACGGAGTCTCCCCCCGAGCAATCCCGCGCGACGCCTTTCGATCCGTCCCCGTGATTCGCGGGGATTCCGCCTGCGTCGTTACACACGCAGGCGAAGGATCCCCGGACTGCGGTCCGGATAAAGGATCAACGACAGCGGGGGCGACGGAGGTGTTGATCCTGATAAATATGTGTCTCGAACAGCTGCGAATCTTTCGTCTGACGACGACCGACGGGGGAAACGACGCGGAAGGACCGTCCGCGCGATTACGACACCCCCTTCTCAGCGCGGCAGATTGTCTGGCAATCTGATTGGGCTATAAAGACGGAAACAAGGTAAGTACAAGTAAGATGACTAAGTACAAAGGAGAAGGTGTTTCTCGCGTGTTTCTCTTCTCATTCTCTATATAATTGCGAACAGTAATTACGGCTACAAGGCTTAGGCTCGTACTCCATCAGTCTTTTCTCTTTCTTTAACCTTGGCGAGAGCCAAGGGGTCTCCGACGCTGAATACGAAGAACCTGCGGACTCGCGGACCGCCGGAAACGCGCTCGACTGACGAATTCCCTACGCCCGCCCGCGTGGCCCGCGCGCAAAATTACAAGACGTCTCTCGTACGCGAGATACGCTCGCTTGCCCGCATCCTTCGAGGTCTGATCGAGGCGCGATCGAGGCCGAGATCCACCACGGAATCGCTCGGACCTCAGCGAAACGTCCGACTCACCTCCTCCCCGCCCAACGGCCGATCAATTAGTCGCGTTAGCCGGAAATTTTCCTGCTCTCTCTCTCTCTCTCTCTCTCTCTCTCTCTCTCTCTCTCTCTCTCTCTCTCTCTCTCTCTCTCTCTCTCTCTCTCTCTCGTCTCACCGGCCTTCCAACTTTCGTCACGTCGCTTCGCTTCGCTGAGGTCGTCAGCTTTCGACTGTCTCTCTCTCTCTCTCTCTCTCTCTCTCTCTCTCTCTCTCTCTCTCTCTCTCTCTCTCTCTCTCTCTCTATCTCTTTCTCTCTCGTTCTTTCTCACCCCGTCGTTCTCGAGCGAGCGAGGAAGCGTTCGCGACGTGGAACGCTTCGTCGTACCGCGCGACGTCGATAATGCGATACCGATGACTCTTCTGTGTGTTACTTTCCTAGGAGAGAACGCGGGCACCAGTTCGCGATCGATCGAGAACACTTTGCTGCTATCCGATTCTCGCGATCGGACGATCCTCACCGAGGAGAGACTGATCGCGGCGCGCGACACGAGAGATCCTCTCGCGAGCTTCAGCACGTCCGGATTTTGCCTTCCGGTCGGTAAGAATGATAAGGGGGATTGCAACAGCGTGATCCAGAAGAGACATGGAGATGATGATGCCGCGTAATCGTAACGTTGCGAGTGAACCGAAGACTGGACGCGATCGATTGCTCGGTCACTCGCGTGCCCTCGCGAAGACCGTTTTCTCAAAGTCTCCTGACTCCGGTCTCTGACGAGGCGAAAACAATGTTTCCCGATTGGCAAACGCGGTCAAGACGATACGGTACGGTACGGTAGGAACTGATGGTCCGTGTTAGAATTTCAAGCTCGACCGGCCGCGGCCGATCGCGGACTGTCGGAGACTCCGCGAAAACGCGCCGCAATGATGAAATAACCGAATGCAGCGAGACGCGCGGCGGCGGCGTCGACAGCAAAGTCCGATAATACGAGCTCTTTACGGCGATAGAACAATGTACAATGAAGTTTTAGAGAAAGAAACGGATATATGTATATTTATATATATATGTAAAGATATATAATATATATATATATAGAAATACCGAACCTTTTTCAAGTAAAGAAGACTGCAGGTCTGCGATGATCCACAGGATGCAGGGACAATGATTAACGTTAGGTCGAGCTCATAGCTCACAGCGTGAGATTCTGTTATTGACCCTCGTCGCGGCCTGAAACTTCCGGCACCGCCTGGACGACGACGGAGAACATCAAACAGCGCGAACGGAGCGGTCGTTAATCTCGCCGAATGAATACGTCAAGCGTCAAGCAATGTCCGGCGATCTCCGGCGAAGGTATCTTCGTTTTCGAGGCTGCACGCGCCTCAGCTTAGAATTTCACCCCGCGAACGTTACTCCGCCAGCGTTCGTAATGACGTCGCAGTGGTATCGCAAACATTGAGAATAATTGGCGCGATTTGGCAGCAGGCTGCTCGAGTCCGCGAGAGCGAAATTCGCGCGGTCCGCAGGATCGTCCGTCTCGCGCTCGGCGAGGGTCAATCACGGGCGTCACGGGAGAGAATACTCTTCGCAGTGGGGTGTCATTATGCGAGCGTCCTTAAGTAAAGCGATGCCATGCAGTCGTGCCAATGATTAAGAAAATCAAAGAGCTAATGATGAAAAGTCACACTGATGAGGTGCGTGGGGGAGATGAGCGCGATGGAGATGTGAAGGGGGCGAGGAGTGAGCGGCGCCAGGACCAATAGTCTCGCGCGCGCGCGCGCGTGCCAATGATTGTGCATCGGATGGAGAACGGCGTCAATAATGAGTTTCTGCATTTTTCAGCGCGCATATTCGCGTCGTGTGTAACCCGCGGGCGCGGGAGCGGCTCGCGCTTCGCGCAATTTTCCGAATGAATCAACACGTCGGGGGGAATGATCTCGCTGAAAATGATGGATATGCGTGCTCTCGCTGATAATTCGCAGTGCTTATTTGATTTCATGCAAGACCGAATGAATGTTGAATGCGGAAATGTGAGTGTCTGTTTTGTCTGTCATAACATATACATGAGAGGACACGGCCGTTCTCATCTCTCTTTCTCCCGAGAAGGATCGGAGGAGGACGGAGAAGAAGGGAGGAGAGGGGAGGGGGAGAATGAATCCGTCACTTACGTGATCCTGATGAAGAGGGGATCGAATATGCGGGATCGAGTATGTATGTCACACTGATACCGATGTTCTAGATATCTCTACGATGCACAATGGTCATGATGAGATCAAGCGTATGCTGAGAGAAGCGACTCGCCGGGAGATTATCTCTTCCGGGAGACTATCTCGCACTGTCCTCTCGGCTCCCCTTCCAGTCCGACGTCCAGTCGAAATCGAAGCCGTCGATTCTTTCTCTCGACCCCCGCAGAAGAAATCGTCCCATCGATTGACAGGCGAAAGCTACCAAAGGAGCGATCGAAAGTGATCGGTTTCTACAAGTTCTTCTAAAGATTACTCACTCTCGTACAACGATGTACTTCACATTTTCAATGCGGGCGTTGAAAGAAAACGCCACGACAGAGCTACGCGTCTCGACTGTCGGCAGTTCTCACGCGTAAACGCGCGATGCCTCGCGCGAGCGCTCAGTCTGCACGCTCGGTGAACACGAGACGAGAGAAAGCGCAGAAGCGTGTGCGAAGCTCCTCCTAAAGTACGCGCAAGCTCAACTCGAACTCGCGCCGCGCCGTCTAATTAGTAATTAGCGATTACCTTCGGCGAGGCTCGCTCTGAGCGATCACGCGCCTACCTGTGAGACCGCGAGACTGGAAGAAAGGATCAAGAAGAGTGCAAGGGCGAGGCGGGGGGCGGCATCGAGTTCCTGGTGCAGTCGTGCGCGGAGGACCAGGCCCTTGGCGAATCTAGACGGTACGTTACCCTGAGGCTGGATCTGCGACGGTCGACGGTGCCGGTGTGATTCGCCGTCATGTGGAGGGCCGACAGCGAGCTCTGATGATGCTGTAGATGCAGCGCCCTGCTCCCACGCCCGAGACTACCGCCCGCGCTCGCGGTGCTCATCGGACGACCCCCGGCGTTGCTGTTCCTCGGGACCATCTCCAGCTGACTTCTACGCAACACACGCACACCACCCTTCATGCACGCCTTTCTGCGTACGCGCACCCCCTCCATCTATACGCACATACCTCGACCACGGACACACACACACACACACACACACACGTACGGCACGTGCTACAGCGAACCGCTCTATCTTTATCACTTTCTTTCTCTTTTTCTTTTCGTTATTTCTTTCTCCCTCCCTCCCTCCCTCTCTCCCTCTTTCTCCCTCGGGAAGAAAGCGCCCGGTAGCTTTAAGCTTCTCACCCGATGTAAAAATTTGCATCGCGGTGTGCCGCTGCTCGACTCTGTTCCTTCCGACGTGGACATTGGAATGGAACGCGATGACGATTAAATTCGCTCAGATGACGTATACCGATTCTCGCGACCGTCCTTTATATTTCGACTGATCCTGCGTCGTTGCGCGCGAGGGAGAGAGTGAGCGAGAGCGGGCTTCCGCCGCTCGGCCTCCTGTGGCCCGCGACGACACTCGCTCTTGACGTAGTGGCTCGCTGCAGGTGCCCGAGACGGTAGAGACGAGATCTATCTCATAATGAATATCTAGTTACAACATAAATATACATACACAAGCATTTTGTGCACCACCGATATAGAGAATAATGTATAATGTTTACCGGGCTGCCGAGCTGCGCAGGATCGTGAGCCGAGCGTGAGCCGATCGGGACCGACGACCGAGACGCAGCTCGCAGCCGCCAGCTAACCAGTCAACGAGAGAATATAAACATCGAACAGTCAAAGATGTATATAAATATATCAAAGTTGGCAGAAATCAGAAAAAGATAAAAGGAATCATAATGCACTGTGGTGTGATTCCTGGCCAGAGAGACCGGTCCGAGAGTAGCAAGAGAGGGCTCTACGACGAGAGAGGCAAAGGTACAACAACAACTGTATATCTCTTTTTTTCTTTTTCTCTCTTCATACGTTACCGATAAGACACCGATAATGAGGGAAACCGAGGTACGACCGATAGTGACGCGCAGCCGACGAGACGCAAGTGCTCGGAAGTGCTCTGAGAGAGACTTTCGGCTTTCGAGAGACCGTCGCGATTTGCCTCGCGAGCAACGCGTTGCGGAAGAGAGTGTGGCGCGAGTAAGAGCAACGGGTGTGCGGCGGCCAAAGGGGAAGGGGGGGGGGAGGGGCGTCTGACCAAGGATTACACCACGATCACTAAGATTAACATGTGCTGTACATAGCGCAGTGCAGTGCAGGCGGCAGCTGTGGGCTACGGCTCAGCTATGAGACACATTACCGGTGGATCCGCGATCGAGTGGACTTGCAGACCCCAGCGAGTCGCGCCGCGACTCGGCGAAGCCGCGGGAGCACGGCAAAAAGAGTACTCCGGCACGTTCCACTGGGTAATCTCGCGTACGTTTGCATATGTACATTATGTCGAGACTGTAACTGTACTGTATATTTACGTGTGTGTATGCCCGATATATATATATATATATATATATATATATGTATGTATATCCAGGTATGGCATGTGTATTAAAGACTAAACGGGTACTTCCGCTCGCTCGCTCGCCGCGAGACCTACGAGATCACTGCGCGATCGACGACCGGCGGCGAGCGGGCGCGCTCTTATGCACTCTATCCATTAGCTCGATATATACCAAAGGTGTCCACGTTTCAGCTTCGCTTCGATCAGTCGGCGTGTGCAGGCAGCTTCGATGAAGCTTCAACGGCATTCGCCAGGCCGAAACTCCAGTCGTTCGCGATGTCGCCGCATTAGGGCGACCTGATTATTTCGGCTGTTCTAGTCTCACTTTGACAGCACTTGACGTGTTTGAACATGTTACATCGTACTCTACACGGGCGCGAAGCAGTACTCCGTTAGTATCACTGAATGTTCCGCTGCCCGATGCGATTAGAGGAAACTCGAGGTGGGGAGAGAAAAATGTCTCTAATTATTGTCGAAGAATCTATCGTTTTCAACTGTCTCAATCGAGTCTGAATGTTTAGACGAGAGTTCCCGGTCACGACGACAGAGATATGATTTCATAGCGAATAAGCCAAGTAGCGTTTTGTTCAGCGAGTTTCCGTTCGTTCGCTTCACAGCCAGTCACACACAGAATTGAGATTCTTTCCGCGCGCAGAAGAAACGATTTCGTTAGTGTAACTGGATTTCCCGCTGCCGGATGAAAAGGTCGGCTGCAAAGGCGGGAAGATTCCGGCAGGAAGTTTCTGATCAGTCAATTCCTTTAGGCTATCTCAGCCGAGTCTCCGACAGTCACAGCTGAATGTTCGGACGAATTTTTTTCAACCGCGGCGTAACAAAGATATCGTTTTTCTCGCCTGGTCTCCATTCGGTTACACGAAGTGAGATCTTCTTCCCCGTGCGAATACGACAAGGATGATTGGAAGCACTAGTGAGTTCCGGCCTCAACAAGGATCGAAGCTCCATTGAAGCTGTTGTGTACTCGATATACCGTGACGAAGACACATTATCGAGGCCGTCTGCGCGGAGTACCGCGCTTGGTGTTAGCTTCCACGTCGAGAGAAGCTTTTTACGCCGGCTTTTTACTATAGAAGCTGAAAGCGCGCGTCGGCCTCGTGATTTGATTTCTTTCTCTCGTCGCGGAGCGACTAATTTGACCCGACGCGTCCGCGTTAATCGCGTTGCAGAGGAGCGTGACAAGATCCAAGTGAAAATTGTACTCCCTTCATATTCTTCGCGCCCGAGCTAGTTCTCGGGATATGTACAACTTTCTCTCTATCTCTATCTCTCTCTCTCTCTCCCTCTCCTTCTCTCGATTCCTAAACGATACATAAAATTACTGTCGATTACGAAAGCTTTTTGCGGGAAGTTCACGGATACGGCCCTTATACGGCTATCCTAACTTTACTCGTAGAAATTCTGGAAAAGTAGCTGCCTATCGATTACCAGTGACTATACAGTAACAACTCTCGCTCTCTCTCTCTCTATCTCTATCTCTCTCTCTCTCTCTCTCTCCCTCTTTCTCTCTCTCTCTCTCTCTCTCTCTCTCTCTCTGCCCCTCTTCTCCAGACTAACGTTATTTTACGGCGCAAAACGCGAGTATCGATCGCTCGCGAGGAAAGCGTGGAATGCGCGCCGCCGTCATCGACGACGACGGCCACGACGACGAGAGGATCCGCCGGTGAATCTTTCCGATGGGACTTTTCTTATCGCGAAAAGTTTCGCGGATGAGAGAAGGCTCCTCTCGCGGTCGAGAGCGAACGGGAGGTGTTCGAAGCATTCCCGATCTCGCGGGTGCGCACGCTCGCGAAAAAGCAGCCCTGTAAACAAATAATTGACGATGCTCTAGCGAATGCCTCTGTTTCCGCGACCGCCGCGAACACCGACACGCCCGCGATCGGCCACGTCGTCACCCGGGGACCTGACTTTGGCGCCACGTAGCCTGTCGTAGACGCGGAGTATCCGGCGCGTGACCGTCCGGGTCGTCCCGTCGTCGTTGTTCGTTGCCTCTCAACTCGCACCTGCCTGTCTCGATCGTTAACGCGCCGTATCGTAGCGATGATCCACGGCGAGTCGATCGGAGAGGATGAGGATATAATCACGACCGTAGACGACCTCATTTCCTCCCAGCACTAACCCGACCCCTTCCCGCTGTTGTGTTCCCGTCCTCGAAGGGGAGCCTTGGAAGAGCGTCTTTCGCGCGACCACCGCTATAGGAAGGCTCGATTCCGCCTTATTGTCTTTTGGTCGACTATCGAAATCTTCGGAGGATCGAGCGCTTTCCGTTTCCTCGTCTTCTCGCTTTCGCGTGCAGCCTCCCGGACCAACGAGATGAAAGGCAGTGAATTACGTTTCGCGGGAACGTTTCCGTCGAAGAGCGAGGGGGTTTTATCGAGCGTGACAGTTGACCCGATGAGCGACGCGCCGCCGACTTTTCACCGAATAGATCATCGAACGGAAGAATATTCGCAATGCTAATTTAGCAATGTTAATTTAACGGAGTTTTGCTACCAATTTGCGATAAAGGGAAAATTATGGTAGAGTTTGTTTGATCGAAGGTCACGAAATCCCCCCCCGAGAGTTCTGCAACGTTGTCTGCCAACAACAGAATTCACTTTTCAGTTCAATTCTCAGAGAATACGCTTGCCTTCGACGCAAAACTCACCGAAAGAGAACGCCGCGACTTTGAATTATCCGAACTGTATACTCGCCCCTTTTGTTCGCGCACGTCATGCGATATGACGCATTGACAACTTGCAGTAAATGAAGTCGGCAAATTTTTTCAAACGTGTTATTCCACCGCGATGGTTATGAAACGTGACGGTTCCAAACGTGAGCGGCCGTAAAGCCGGGAGTATCCGAGAGAGTCGTGGTTCGAGGAAACCCGAAAGTACCGTAACTTTCTTGTTAGCGCCAATTAGACCTTCCCTTCGTAAAACGCCCCGTCGAAGGTATTCTTATGTCGGCGGGGGAATACATTCCTCGGTTTCATAGCTCCTGCGCGGCGTCGGAGGAACTACGTCCGCGCGCGTTTGTCCGGTCCTCGGCGTTTATTAGAGCGCACGTGTCCGCTCGTCATCGACGTACGAAGCGCAGTGAAAGTGAGTTAACAAAGCGTTCGCGCTCGAGGAGGCTGTATGGGACGTTGTTCTCGAAGCCTTAAGTGGATTCGTCGAATCCCCCCGAGGCGCTCCTTCGAGACGGGACGTGTTCGCGGTCGCGAGTTCTCGGATATTGTTCCGGACGTCGGCCTCGCCAGCAGCGAGCGGCGAGAGCAACGACGTCGTGTCGATTAGTGAGCGTTGTCCAGTGTCGCCTCTGGATGACAGTAGACTGAGTACCTTGCTGGCAGAACGAGCGCTTCTAATTCGGCGGTGAGGTGCCGTCGGATCATGTGCTTGGCCGGCGGTATGCCCAGAGCGGTCGCCATCGTGTCGCCGGTGAACGACGGCTCCAACACAACCAGAGCGCCGTGCACACCCGAGTCTGCGGGAGAGAAAAGCAGAACGTCTTCCTTCGTCCGAGATCACTTTTCACGTTTCCGAGGGGAAGAAAGTAGACGGCTCGTGTGTGGACTTAAACTCTTAGGACGGTGTTCATACAAGGGGAGGATATTAGGCTTTCTTTCATGTAAACCCTCTTCAGTTTTACTACGTTCCCTGGTAGGTGGGGTGGGAAGGCTTTACAGTCAGTCGGTGGAATTTATCTTACTAAGAAACGGTGGGTTTTAACGAACACAGAATTTTTGTCAACAGCAGACTTTGGTAGCCTGCAAGTAGCATATATGTGTGAAACGAAAAGATAATCGATCAAGACAAAACGCGTGATTATATTCCTCGGCTGCAATTTTTAGCCCGAGAACGTTCGCAATGTATAAAAGTCAACAATCTCGGGAAGAACGATAAAGATCTCGTGGCGTAATGGAATCTCGAAATCCGTCGCGTGGAAACGGAAGGAAGGAAGGAAGGAAGGAAGGTGGGTGGGTGGCACGACGCGAGGAATCTGACGTGCATGGGTCACCTTTCAAATTCTCGGCGTATTCCGTGAGATCGATATTTCTCGCCCACCGAATGAACCTCTGGTTCGTCCAGACCAAAGGATCCGTGTCGACCTGCTCGCATTGGTGTCTCCTGACGGCGAGCGCCTGTCACAGAAGCACGAGGTCTCTTTAGAACGGCTCGCCAGCCGCAATTACGTTGTTCAATTAGTCGTCGCTGAGAAGCCGCTCGCGCAAAAAGCAATCTTGGCGTTAGCGCGAGCGAGCCTTTGTCCTCGCGCTCGCGTAACGTAACGTAACGTAACGGCAGCGCAATGGACTCGCTCACCTGCCGATCGTAGTTCAACATCCGCAGCAAGTGAATACCGTGGACGATGCTGGCCTGGTGGAACTTCCTCGTCACGCCGAGCAGCTTCTCCAGCTCCTTCTTGCTCAGATGATCCAACATACGCGCGTCCACCATATTGGTGGCGAAGCTCTCCGAGTACTGGGCCAGGCCGAGGTCCGGCAGCCACTCGGAGCTTACCCAGGTGTGCCCGAGCTGGGCGATGCAGGGGTACCGGACGTGACTCGGGTGCCGATGCTCTTCGATAGCCAGACGCAATTTCTTCCGGTGAAGGGGGTGAGTGACGCCCAAACCGGCCTCCAGCTCGGCGTCGCTCAGCTCAAGCAGCACCTGCAAAACGGACGTTACGAACGAACGGCGATAATTACAGCATGTAAGTATTCGCGGGTGCCCGATGACGACGATAGGTCGCCGATTACGGCGATCTCGGGCGATGGTCAGTCGCTGTTGATCTCTTCGAGTTCTCTCACTCGGTTGGTGATTTAACTCGAAAACGAGGTCGACCTCGCAGCGGGCAACAATAAAACTACCTGACTTTGCGGACACTCCGCGTTCGCGTCCACCAGTTCGAAACGACCTCAAAACTTGCTGATGAAACAGCTGACCGCACTCTCTTCGTTCCCCCTCCCTCCCTGCTCTTTCTGTCTGCCATTCCTTTACCTTGCCCGACTTGACGTTCTCAGCACATCGCGGCCCGTACTGCGGCATCCCGAGGGCCACCTCTAACCACGCTAAAACGGTAGGGGCTCGCCATCGTTCCATTGGTACGGAGGCCGCTTCTCGCAGCAGACGAAGTTTCTCAGCGTAGCCCTCCTCGGTGAGTGGCGACCACGATCGAAATGGATCAAAGCCGTCCGATCCCTCGTTCCCGCCGCTCCCGCCGCCGGAACTGTTTGCCGTCTTCCGGTGTCGCGAGCGGGCGAACACCCTGCCGGGAGGAAGAACGATGATTCATATCGCGCATCTCGATGGAACAATGCTCGGGGAATCGGGTGAATGAATCTTTATAAATTGACTTTCAAAGTCGCTGGAATCCACCGTGAAGTTTATCTATCATTCTTCCTCACATTATGACGCGGATGAAATACACTGGCTGAAGAAACATCTAAAAATGGAGACTGCGTTTATTCGCGATGGGTACTGATAACACATTTGCTCACACCGATATGTGTGTGTGTATTATTATTATTTGTATAGCGGGAAAGTTCGTTTGCAAACGAGAAAATATCTGCTGTGTTTGTAAAGCCGCGAGTCGGGGTACTTTTTTTATTTAGATAAATGAATTTTTAGTTTAAAGCAAAATGTATCATTAGCACCCACCGAATAAATATCTTTTTATTCATCTCAAGAACCCGAGTAGAAAAATTAATAGGGCTCTGGTAAGGGCCTGATTATTTTTCCCTAACATCAATCGAGCCCTAGTAGGGATAAAAAAACACGGGGCTCTAAGATGTGTGACAAAAGTTTAATGGGTCTTTATAAGGCAATATTATGAGCGCCTTATAAGGCAATATTAATAGAGCCTCATAAGGAAATATTTTTATTTAAGTAAAATTAAGTAAAAATTTTCCTTCTTTTCAATCCAAGAAATTTAGATTGTAATTTCTTTATTTCTTTATAACCTTGTTAGTATACAAGAATTTCTTTTATTTTAAAAATATAGTATAGTTTACAATAAAATATAGCATTCTTTACACGTAAAAATCCTGCTACTGTTTTTATTAAAGTTTGCTGCATTTCAAATGAAGGCAATACTAAAATAATCCTTGGAAGAGACTAATGAACATGGCAACCAAAACTAATAAAATTTGTTTTTAATAATGACTAATGAATATGGTAATAAAACTAATAAAATTTGTTTTTAATTGCGGTATAATTAAAAAATCTTTAAAAGAACCAGGTAGAGAACGTACCTACTAAAGCAATATTAAACTATGACCACTTACTATACGCTTCAGATCTTATTAATTTTCTATAATAAAACTTGATTTTGTACATCTGAAGCATCCTTAAAAATTCCTTCTAAGGCCCACATCAATTTTCCCTATCAAAATCTTATTTATTAGATCTAAGGCATCCCTAAAAAATCCTTCTAAGGTCCTCCTCAGCTTTCCCTATCAAAGCGTTATTTCGCAAAATCTAAAATCGTATCCCTAAAAGATCCATCTCCGAGCCTGATGTGGTAATAATGAGACATCCCTTTCTAGGGCATCCTCTTTTCAGCCTTATCGGGGCCTTATGCTTCGTGAGGATGGCCCTAACAATTTCTTGCTCGGGAAATCATCAATCACATTGCGTGAGACTCGACGATATTAACCGCCGTCGGATTCCGCTGAAAATAACACCGCGGAAGCTCAGCCAACTTGTTTCCGCGAGTAAACTTGCTACCGGGCAGGAAAAGCGATGTTGCTTGTCGCGAGACCTTCGTGCAATCGTCGGGCCCGATTGCAAATACGACGCGGCCAAAAACGGGAAAATAGATTCCGCCGGGGCGGAATATACACTTAGTGCGTTCCGTACCGCGTGTCGTGTTAACGGCCCGCCGGCATAACGGAGGTTTATGAGATTTCTAGCGTGCGCTCTATAGCCAAAGAGAGCCGCTTGGCACCATCCATCACTTAGAATAAATCACGTCGCGAACGGCTCAGGTATGAAAGCCTGTCATCGATACCTGCGACCGTAGATTACGCAGCGTCTGAGGGGAGATGTGATTGAAAAATCGATCGCGTTCCCGGCAGCTTCTCCCAAACGGGACGGGAAAGTCGTCCCGCGGTCGCTCAGAGTCCGCTTCGCGCTCCCCTCCCCGCGAATTTCGCAATTCGCAATTCGTCCCGAACGTGATGCACATCGCAGCGGTGCCGCGCGATAATAATACACACCGTCGTAAAGTCGCAATCTCTCGCTTATCGCGTTACGAACTCATTTCGCTCGTTTGTACATTGTTAAGCGGCGAAGACTCGCGTGGCGATCGCTGCTGAAAGTGATCGATGCTGAAAGTTGTCGCGGAATGCGAAAGCGTGTAGCAGCTGCGCCGCATGCGAACGCGCGGAATTGAAGAATCAACGAGCAGCCGGAAAACCGCGCTTGCAAAACCGTTCGCGCTCATCGCCGCGACGGCGAGCCGAGTTACGACTTGGCGTTACGATCGCACCTCGTTTCCGCAGCACGCGCGCGCCAACTCGTCGCGGCCAACTTTCGCGGCTTTTCACGTCGCCGCCGGACCTATTATTCGCGGCTCGGTGTCGCGGACGCATAAATTACAGGCGACAATGAAACGATTCAATTTCGTTAACACGTAAAATGTACCGGCCGCTGCCGCGCATCGACGGTAATTGCGATTAAGTGTTTGTCCAACGAGCCGCATAATCGATGCGTTTTCACTTAATTAATACGTAATTAGCATCATCGGGAGGATGCGCGTAGGGCGAACGCGAAAAAATGGCCAATCGGACGCTCTCGATTCGTCTATTTTCTACAGCTGTAAATCTTATCGCGCAGCTTCGGGGAGCTTCGATCGCTCAAGCGCCGACGCCACTGTATTCGCGTCACGAAATTTCAAAGGCTGAACAATCCGAACGCTCGAATTCTCACTACGAATCTTGATTATCCCGTGGCAATCCCCAAAATTAGTTCTATTGTATCAAGAGCCTCGATCTGCAGCTTCCAAGTCGAATTATTCAAACTCGGGCTCTTCAACTTCGAACAGACTGGAGCGCGAAACAAAACAGAGAACCGCGATTGCGACTCGCGGCAAAAGTATGATTCGAGAAATTTCAAATCAATTCTTTCGTAACAACAGTACGATGTCACTCGAGCGCAGAAATGAGCGTTAAAAGTTCTTTACACTCATCGTGCCAAACTTTCGAGACTTCGGATCAAATAACACTACTTCTGGGGGGTGTCTCTCTCTCTCTCTCTCTCTCTCTCTCTCTCTTCTCTTTCACTCCCCCGTTTCTTGTTCCTTCTCCTCGAGACCGGATTTTCACGTCGTTTTTCCGATCTCCCGGCCCGACTCGGCCGACCGCGCCGGGCGCGTCTCGCGCGCGATAAGAAGCGACGTGCAGGTCGCGAGGCCGGGGCCTTCTTACCTTGAAATGGATCCCCATGTGCCGCCGCGAGTAGCGGACGATCGCGAGTGCGCGGCAGGTGCGACGACAGGTGGAGGCTGCTTGTTTCGCCGCGGCTCGGATTCCAGCGGGCTGGATAGCTGCTCGACCGATCGCGATAGCGACGAGTTGTCCATGGACCTCGAGAAGGCGTTCAGGGGCGACAACGTGGGGCTGCAGTCCTTCGGTGTGGTCGCGGCTGGAAGTGGAAAGAGCACGCTCGGCTGAGCACACAGCGCGTCGCACGATGGTACCGTCAATTTGCCGCAACGGTCAATTCCCGCGAGATAAGGTCCATGATGGGAGGATTCAAGAGGGGGACGTGGGGGAGTGGGGGGGGGGCAGGCGATGACGGAGATACATTGCGGAAGTGTAATGAGATTCGACCGACGAGAGAGAGCCCGGTCGCTCGCGAAAAGCGAAGCGCGAGAACGAAGCCGGTAAAAGCGCCGCTTGCCCGCTCGACGATTGTATCGCGCAAGTAAGCGAGCGAATAAATTATTACTCGGCAATTACCGCGTAGACGCGAGGCCGAGGTGTTTCACTTCCGAGTCGGCTTCGCGCTTCGCTGGGGCTTCGAGGATCGAGAGCGAAGCGTCGCTCTCCTCGACGTGGATGTGGAAACGTTCGCAACCGCGACGTCACGCGACGCTTGCGGAAGCGAGCGAGGTGCTCTTCTCTTCCACGCTCGTCGCCATTGCGCAAATGATGCACTCGCGGTATTAATTGACGAGTGATTAGACAGACGTAGCACGGTGGTACGTGACCGAAATTAAACGAAGCCACCGACGACGGCGGTTCGCGCGGCGCGAGCGTGTTTCTCGTCTCGTCCGCCGCCCGCACCTCGTTCGCTTCGGGAGTGTTTTGCGCGCCGGCAAGGTCGGCGGCATCATCCTTCGCTTGTGAATGACACATGGAGCGCAGAGAGGTGTAATCGATGCAAGTCACATAAAGAACACACAGCGCTTCGTGCGGCGATCCCGCTCGCGTGCAAGAAAGCCCTTTCGTGGGCACAGCTCGTTCTTGTCGTCCGTCAGGTTTACGGTATGTGCATGCGCATGCATCGGGCCACGTAGCAGGCAGGATTTTGTATCGGGGACACATCCTTGGGGAGAGCCCCGTTGCCGTCGGTTAGACTTTTACGCGCCGAGAAAAACGATGATTTATTCGCCGAGTGCCCTCGATCCCTTTCGGTACCACCGTTCACCATGTTAAGGAGCACTCTTGCACTCAACACAGCACATACACACACAAACACACACACACACACATATATACATACATACATACATACAAGAAGAGATAGATGACTACTAGGGTGACCAGAGTGAGATAGCGATCGCGTCGCCCGATTTTTCGTCGACTATCGCGACTCCGGAGAGCTCCGAAGTTCCGCGAGAATGAGTAACGGGGAGACAAAGACAGAGACAAAAGAGAGCGAAAGAGAGGAATATCGTTGTCGGGCGAGCGACTGTAAAAGTACTCCAACGCGACGTAATTGTCCGCCGACAAGCGATCGCGATTGTCGATCTTGCCTCGGCGTCTCCGCGTAGCCGCGCGGCCGACGGCGATTGATCGGCCGTCGATCGACTCGCTCGTCCGGATCGACCATTTCGCGATCGCTCACGGCGGGGAGAGAATGGAATAGGGGTGAGAAGGAGACAGAAACACAGAGAAAGAGAGAAAAAAGAGAAAAAGAGAAGCAGAGGCGCCAATGGACATGATAACGACGACGAGGACAAAGACGACTACTACGACGACGACGACGACGACGACGACGACGACGACAACGACGACGAAGACGACGACGAGGGATTCGGATGGAGAGCGAGAGCCGAGTGACAAAGGAGGTGACGACGATCAGTGATTTATGCACTTGGACACTTACATTGGTATATGTGGGGTGGTGCTACGGAGGATACCACGGAGATGCTGTCCATGTCGAGACCGCTGCCCTCGACCGTAATTGTCGGCGTGCCTGCGCGGAAATATATACGGCACATCAATGTCAACGAAGACGGGAGAAAGGGGGGTGGGAAAGTAGGGGAGGGAGACTCGTCGGCCGGGGCCCGACGGGCCTCTCGCCTCGCGTCTCCGTCGGAGCTGTCAAGAACGAGCTTCTCTCTCTTCGTCGAAGGTCTCGGCCGGGAGCCTGTGTTCTTTATGTCGCATACCTGGTCTGTCTCGCGCGGTTTCTCTATTACCCGGGGGTCACGCGAGCCTTCGCCGGGCCGGGCCGGGCCGGGCCGGCGTGCCGGAAGTGGAGGGAGCGAGGCGGGAGAGGCGAGTCCTGATCCTGACGCGACGAAAGTGCGAAGCGACTTAGGCTTTTTGCCGCGCGACCATTAGCGCGCATTTCTACCCGGCTAATAGGGAAAGTTTTAATTGATAACCTCTCCTCGTGTTCGGAGGGAGAGTAACGTTCAATTGACTAATTAACTTTTAATCCACCGCCACACGCGCTATCATTGACGAACGTTCCCTAGACTCTCGCTCTGTTCTAAGATTCTCGGCAGGTCCGCCAATTAATCGCGCCTATTGTACTCGTGGCCGTGTGTGTGTTGCATGGTAATTGAACGCAAATTTCCCCCTACATGGAGGATAATTTTAGTCAATAATACGTTGGAAATTATAACTGGAAAATGTTCATACCGAAGGTCCAAATATATTGCAACGATTTTATTAATTAGTCCTTTATTTGCGAAATCTGCACTATGAGAGTTTATATCATATGTAAAATAGCTTCCCATATTACGTTGAAATGTTTCAAAGTGTTTCGAAATGTTTAATATGACGAACGCGCAACATTCCCGAAAAATCAAAATCCCGAAACGCGAGAGGAGAGGCAACGGCTGAAAAAGCCGCGAACTCGAAGACTATTCGATTTTGGGGACTACGACTTTTTTCGGACACTACTCCCCATCTTTTTATGAATTTACTTTTTTTTTTCCCAGAATTAAACACGCCCGCCAACAATGTATCTAGCCGAAGCGGGAAGACGAGGAATCCGAGAAGAGCGCGGTAGAATAGAACGCGGAATAGAACAGAAGTGTTCAAGCCGACAATGCAACTCGACAGAAGAACTCGATTAATCGCGAGACCCGGGCTCAAAGAGTCAAAGAAGGACCGCGTGTTTGCGCCCGTGGTTGTGCGAAAGTCGCAAATCCGAGTGCACATAGAGAGAGAGAGAGAGAGAGAGCACGCTTGGCTCTCCGAAGCCGCGCGCTCCTTATTGACCGCAAACGTGCGCCAGGAAGTGCCAATCGATCAAACCGTTCTGATGCAACGGTACGGCGGCTGGCTGAATAATACATGAAGGAAGCGTGCTCGACTGTGCCACCACCTACGTTCGATTAACATTCGCGGTGCCGACGCACGGACGCACCGCGCCGCGCGGCGCGGACTATTTTTCAAGCCGGTACTTAGCTGGATGCACCGTAACGCTCTCTAACTGGACGATTAATCTTGCCCGCTCGTTGCATCCAAACGCCGGGAGTCATTATCTCTTAAGCGAGTGTCACTCGGATTGTGATTAATAATAACGCGTTGGATGGACGCTCCTCAAAAATGTCCCTTCGCAGCCGTACCATTACAGCCGGATTCTAACGATGCAATCAGCGGTCATTGCGCCACGTCGATCGCTTACGGTCGGGGCCGACGTTCACGTGTTGTACGGCCGACTGTTACGTGGGTCTTGATTTATAAGCGTACGACCGAGATGTACCTGGTCGCTTGTTATTGACGATAACTCGCCGAGCGAGTTGGCGAAAGACTACTCGGTCTGAAGAGGGAAGGTCTGGAGGTGTTCCTCGCCGACTTCGAATTGGACTATGCTGGGATATATCGCGGAGAAGCCGAAGATACAAAGGACGTTTCCCTTTTGCAATTTCTTGCGCTCAAGAGTTCAGCTCAAGCTCTTTGAGCCAATTCCGTACATTTCACTGTGAGCGCTCGTCTGATTGTCGGTTTTTCTGAGTTGATCTGATTAGCAACTTTTAATATCTTTCAAACCGTGACGACGAGAGATAAGTGTGGAAAATACTCTTTAAATTTTGTCTCTTTATAAGAACCTCAAAATTTGTTGAAGTAATAACGCTGACGACTAAAAAAGACCGTGAAATTTTTGGTGAACCTGAATACAGAGTTGTGTGTTAAGGGAAGAAGTTATATGCGGAGCAGATCGTTTTGAAGGCTGTTTTTACGAATTTTTTCAACTGAAACGGTAGGATTAATGGACTTGAAATTTTCACACACAGTGCATTCATTAACGTTCAAATAATGTATAAAATGAATTTGTTACTATCTATATGGAAAGTATACACATAAAACTTTAAACGCGTTTATCTGGGAACGCCACTTTCTTAAACCGTCGACACGATTATGCAGAAACTACTGAGGAACTTAAAATTTTTACATAATATATAGTAAACATGTAATTTTCGTCCCTACCTCGAATACAGTTATATTTTATTTTATTCATTTTTTAAACATGTTTACAAGTTGAAAAAAGTTTCCTTTTATTTTTTTATTTTTTATTATTATTTTTATTATTATTATTTTTTATTACAGTCATTATTTTTCCAAACTTGACTTCACTGTCTTCACTTTGGTACGGGCTGTAATGGCAACCGTATATTTTAAAAATCTTTCTCATTTTTTTTGTCTCAGAATAGTGAGAGGCCCGAAATTATGTCGACAGCAAACATAGAGCTCGCAAATAACTGCATTTTTATCTAACAATTATAAATTGGATTGGTTCTTGTGATTCAATAAAATTTATCTTATACTTTGAACATTAATGAATACACTGTGAAAATTTCAAGTCCATTGATCTTACCGTTTCTGTTAAAAAATTTCGCAAAAAGAGAGTCTTGAAAATGGTCTTTCGCATGTAATTCCCCCCTTAAGTACATCAAAAAATATGAAACTCTCGAGTATCTTACGATTTTAAAGGCTGTTCATAATTAAATCCACGGCATCAATCTCGAGACATTCAAGCCTTCGGAAGCTCCCGAACAAGTACTTGTGAAACTTACGAAACACACGCGCGTTTCTCATTTTTAGCATCTAGATACGTCCAAATGCAATTGGCAGTCTAGCCTGCGCGACATGACACCCCCCTCCCCCCCCGTTTGAACGCGACAGACACCGCTGGCAAAAGTTGCCACGAGAAACGGACAGACACACAATCGAACACGTGGCTTTCGCGGAGAGCAAAGCAGTCCGGCGAGTGATGCTTACCGTCCGTCGTGGAGTCCGACAGGTTCCCGCCGACGCTGGTCGCACCGCCGCTCTCTCGATCGCTGGACCCGCGGACGCCGCTGTCGGCGCTGCAGCTGCCGCGATCGCCGGCCTGGCCGCCGGAGGATCCCGCACCTGCACCGCCGCCCACGTTACCCACGGACACGCCGAGTTCGGTGGTGCCCAGCGGTGGCTGCGAGTTCACGTGGGGGATGATGGCGCAACCCCACTGCCGCCGCCTCCGCTGCTTCCGCCGCCGCCTCCGCCGCCGCCGGCACCGCCACCACCGCCGCCACCACCGCCGCCGCCGCTGCTGCTGCCGGCTCCGGGTGTCGCGGCGCCGTTCACGCTGCCGCGCGGGAAGGACACCAAGGACTCTTGGTCGCTCAGGCAGATACCGCCGCCGCCGCCGCCGCCGCCGCCGCCACGCTCCACCAGCTGACGTTGGAGCTGCAAGTAGATACGGAGCGATCCTGAGCGGACGCGACTTTCGGCTCCTCCGAGCATGCCCAAGTGTAACTCCGACCTCCTCCTCAGGAGGATACGCCTGTTTCTGAGGAATGCGAGTTGCGCTTGACACACCCGTGTCGCCTGATGGACCTGAGTTTGGGACGATTGTTCGGGAATGGCGGATAACGACGGCGTTACTTTGGCGGAGCACTGTATCGCAGTATCGCAGTTTCGCAGTTGCTAATGAAAGAACAATGACTGAAAATTCCGGCGAGCTGAGAACTTTGGCAAGCCCCTGATGGGTTCTCATGATGCTGGAGATTCAGCGGGAAATTCGAAGCGAAGGGAATCCTGCGTGATTCCGCCGAAATCCTTCAAATCGAAACCGGCGCCCGGCCCCGGCTCGACTCTAAACTCGTTAATCCAGTTCGAAATTGTGCGTGCGCGCTCGGCGGCGAGTAGGGCTCACCTCTTTTATGGTTGCGTGCGCGTGCGAGAGGGCGGCTTCTTTGTCCGCCAAACTAGCCGCGAGGCTCAGGCTTCGATCGGCCTCGTCTCTCGCCGCCCTCAACAGACTCCAGCGTTCCCTCTCCCGTTCTCTCTCGCGTTCCTCCGATGGCATGCCGGCTCCTTGCTGCTGGAGACGTCCCAGGGTCGCCTCGTTCTCCCGCATCCGCTGCAATCAACGGTCAAAAGGACCCATGTCCGGGCAGTAACTCCGCCCCAGAACCTTCACCGTCTACCACGGCGTGCACGACACTCGCAAATGCGCAGCTAGCACAGCGCGAACAAGTGGCGCGTCTTCGAGATTTCGTGAGCAGCGCATAGCAAGCGTGCCGTGAACGTCTATTTTTGTTGAAAATAAAAAGAGAGAGAGAGAGAGAGAGAGAGAGAGGAGGGGAAAGTAGAGTTCACTTGTGCGGCAGCCCCTCGGAGTTTGCAGCGATTCAATAATAAGCTGCCACAGACTCAAGCTGCACAAAAGAAGAAAAGCATAAACTGTACAATCAAGTGAAGCATGAACCGCGCTTGATTGGCGATCAAGCAACCTCACCGTGATAAATAATAAAATCAAAGTAGAGATATATTTGCAAAATATAACTGCGCGGTACGCGACTAGTAAGGAAGAAAAGCAAGAAAGGAAAGCTTGCTGCAAAGGAAGACGGCGAGAGAAAGGGCGGCAAGTCCCGAACGTCCCAAGCGCCGAAGCAACAAAGTCATAAATCAGCAGCGTATAAAACGCCCGCGGGTTAATAATTAATTGAAAGCTCGACCGATCGCGCGGAGCGGCGCGCGAATTATGATCGATACTCGGCGAAACAACTTCGGCCGGCTCGCGGCGCGAGCCCGGCGGACAAACTAATATCACGTCGGTCGCGGCGGTAGCAAATAGCCGGTGGAAATGAAATCGGATTCGAGAACAAATATCCGGCTGATATATTCGCGAAAATGTCAGCCGGATACATAGCGCGATACTGTTTCGCGCTATCTCTCGAGCACGTCGCCGCGGGTGTGGGGGAGCGACGGGGGCGGGCGAGAGAGCACTCGAGACGTGCAAAGCCGGATCTTTGACACGCGTGACACGGACGTACTCCCTTTCCCACCCCCTTTCTCCGGTGATTGACGCTCTCGATGGATTATTCCGTCTCGCGACTGTTCCGTGTAAGCATAATTAATAGCCGGCGAATGCAACGCAACGCAACGCGACGCAACGCGCGCGCGCGCGCGGTTGAGTGGAGTAATTGAGACCGTACGGATGGATGTAGCGGAAATATGATTTCCCGCTGGTGAATTTCGCACAACGCGTGTGCGTCAGGAAATTACATACGCTAAAAACACGTGGGGAATTATCGCGAACGTGTCTCCCGGTGTCTGAATTCAAGCGCGCGCGCTCCGCGTGTTTCTTCCGCGTCGCCCCGTCCGGCGACAATAATGAGAGAGAGAGAGAGAGAGAGAGAGTGAGAGAGAGAGCAGAATGAGAGGAAAAAGACGAGAATGGCAAAAGAAGACGAAGAGGAGAGGCGGCGGGTATACAGAGAGAGAGCACGAAGTTTGGCGGAGAAGCAAATTACGGGATTACGTCAATCTACGCGGCGCCGCGCGCTTAAATGCCGCGATAATTCGATTTTTCGCGCGCGCGTGCGATTACGTGCCGCGAGCAAGGCGGACGTGACGTTTACTATCGGCTATTAGCCACTCCGTCGACGGTATCGACTGCGGGCCAAGTTAATCCACTTATCTTTCTCGCGAACGCGCGCACAAGTAACTCCGTCGTACGTATAACAGGTGTTGCGGCGGCAGGTTTATCGGCGAAACTTCGCGCGGCGAACGCGGTTATTACCGGCAGCCGGCGCGTGGTTCACTCGGCTGTGTTAGCACGTCGCGCAGTTTCGCTGTCAAAAACTGCAGCGCGCGAGATAAGCCCGGGAGAGAGAGAGAGAGAGAGAGAGAGAGAGAGAGAGAGAGAGAGAGAGAGAGAGAGAGAGAGAGAGAGAGAGAGAGAGAGAGAGAGAGAGAGAGAGAGAGAGAGAGCAACCTGAGAGACGGCCCGACGAGTTCTTCGTTTATACGGTATAATTGCGCCGCTAAAAGCGCCGTCACTCGCGCGCGGAAAGCGCTCGGCAAAGTTTGCCGATCGCGACAAGTTTCCTCCTGCCCCGCCGCCGAGCGTCGGTATATATTTTACAGAGGAAGTTTGGACCTGGCCGCGGCTTATTTCAATGAAGCCGGGCCGAAATTTCGCCTCTCCATTTCCCATCCGAGCTGTTTAACATCTGTAGATTCCGGAGGATTAGCGGAGATTTCGTTCGTATGGAGACTAGAGTCCTACTCTCGGTGCTTCTCTAAATAGCGAGAAACGCGCAATTTGCCATTTGTAGCTTCTTCAGAAGACTCCTCGGCGGAGCTGTAGATTAAATACGATCGAAAGGACTCGACGCGGGCTTCGGAGCTATTAAACTAGCGTTGCGTGAAATGTTCGCTTAAACGAAACAAACGAAACAACTACCGAGACTTCTCGATATTGATTGAGATATTAATGAGGAAAAATCGCAATGCATGAGAGAAGGCCGGCAATGGATTCAGACACTTTCTCTCGCCGATATCACAATGATTACCACGGTGGTTTACGAAGCGACGAAGCGAGGATTTTTCCTCGTCCGGCTTAACGAATTTCACCCGCATGCGAGGGAAAAAGAGAGCGGGCTTTTTTTCTCTAATCCAGATGTCCTGTGTGTCTGCAGCAACGAGTCTCTGCCTCGTTACGTCGCGGATTTGCCGCGTCAAACACGACACAAGAATAGCTGATTACCTAAAAAACTCACGAGGGAGTTGACAGAAGAGAGCAGGGTGTAATTACGTTTTTATTACCGACCCGTGAGGGAGCCCGGCCCCCGTCCCGACTTCTTTATTATAATTTCAGCGGAATTATCGAGTTCATAAGCATTCATAAGGCGCGACGAAATACTCGGAGGCGGGCCACTCTCCGCGCTAAATATGCGGACGATGTCGACAATTTTCCGCGACGCGACGCAATAGAAGAAGCCCGTAAGCAGTTTGGACGCTCCAGCGACGGGCGGATAACTCCATCAGGGTTTCATAAGCGCATCGCCGGGTTATGACGTCGGATGATAAACAGGTAGGACCGGCGTGGAACGTCGGGACTCGCAAACCCGAACAAAGCCTGGCGGCACGCTGAAAGAGATTGCGCGCGAAAACAGTCGGGCGCGCACGCGCGTCTGTGCTATATATGGGCTGCTACTTGCTTTGAGCTCAATTGCAGATGTCGTGTTCGGGGCGCGCCATAAGATTAAGTGCGGCTCAAAAAAAGGATCGAGTGTTTTGTATCAAGGAATTGCAGACAATAATAAGATAAGTATCGCGATAATATATCTCTTCTCGTAATACGCGCCCGACGATCGAGTGTGATTTCGACAGAAATAAAAAGAGATGAGGCAGAAAGAGGGGGGGGGGTGGTTTCCTCGGGAGAAAAATTTCAAAGACGAAACCGTGCAAGGACGATGAAGATCGCGAGGAAGAATTCACCGCGAGTTAAATTGAAAAACTATCCGACAACGTCATCGTATGTACGCCAGGAATCAAAGGATACGGTAACATGTCCTGCGAAATTAGATACTAACAAGGAGGAGAAGGAAAGAGAGAGACTCTCGCCGCGAGCATACTCTTGTCGCAGCTTTGCGGAAGAGGACAACGCGGGATAGAAAATCATAAGGTCGTGTGCCAAGCGTAGTAACGCGTCGGCACTTGTCGGGGAGCGAAAGTGGTTTATGCGGAAGGGGGAGAAGGAAGAGGCACAGAATAAGAGAAAGAGCAAGCGAGAAAGAGCAAGCGAGAGAGAGAGAGAGAGAGAGAGAGAGAGAGAGAGAACAGAAAAAACGAAAGAGCGCGACGTGAGCGAGAAAGGAAGGGAGATAAAAGCGAAGGGAAATTGACGGGGGCGCTTTACGGCGGGAAACTGCCGTAAAACCAGAGGCGACGCGTGTATTCTTTCGGGACAACGAAGTCGCCGGCGGAGGAGGTCGCATGACGGCGCGTGCACCGTTGCCGGTGACACTGTGTAGCCTGATATTCTCTCATCAGGTGCCTTCCTGCGAGTAACGAAGTCGTTTCGCGACTGACGGTAGGTAGCGGAATTTCAACTTCCGCAAGATCAAGTTCGCGTGAAGGTGCGCGAACGGGTGTGAATCGTCGTCGTCGTCGTCGTCGTCGTCGTCGTCGTCGTCGTCGTCGTCGGTCTCGCTTTTCTCGCGAGACAAACGCGCATCTCGAATGCGCAGCTCTCTTTCAAGTGTGTCTCTTTGCATAGTTTGCATGTGAACTTCGCGTAGATTCGGGCGCGGAGAGGCAACGCGGCGGAGAAGCGATCCTGCGCGCAGAGAGAGAGAGAGAGAGAGAGAGAGAGAAAGACACGTAAATGAATTAACGAATTTCATACGGTTTAACGAATTTGCCGTAAATACATGCGCGACCATAACGAAATTAACTCATCGCCGAATTAGCTGCTCTCTCGCGTATCATATCATATTTTCTTTATAACATACACTCTCTATGTATGTCATAACGCTCGACGTTGGTGGGTTTCATTTCAGCCTGCTGTGAAATTCCGTTTGCTCGGCGATAGTCCAGAGCCGAGCGCGTGTGCATGAGAAAGAGCGGAAAAAGAGAAAAAGAGAGAGAGAGAGAGAGAGGGGAGTGGGAGTGGGGGAGGGAATGCGCTAAATATACGTCACAAAAGCGCGGAGTCTTATTAATTAATTGTGGGCTGCTTCGTCCGCTGTAGCGTGCGCCACGTAATAACATTTTTATTAAAAATACCGACATCACCATGGGAGTAACGTTACGACGGCGCTTTTGATCTTCGCGCGGCAACGTCGCCCGTCTCGGGAACAATACTATTAATTATTCTTAACGCTCCGGCTGCGCGAAATGGTGTATCCGTTCCATCTTCGCCGCGGGCATTAAAAAGGTGCTTCCGCGCGAGGTTGTTGCTGTATAAATTCGCAATCGCGCGTCGCATCAATTCCCGCAACCGATCACATCAACCCGCCTCGTTACCCGCTCGTTTCTCGCCTCTCCCGTTCGAGCGTGCGTTATTAACAGTTACTTCTCACCGTATTCACTCTCGACACTTTTTTCCTTCGCGCTTCGCTCGACGTCTTTCGCATCGTTCATTTTATCCCGCCGCGATCGAATTCGGATTCTTACGTGCACGATACGACTCCTGTTGGCTCGAAATTAATTATCTCCGACCTAATTAATTTTTCTCTCGCGCACGCGAAATTAAATAGCGGAATCTCGCTCGGTTCTCTTCAATTTCTTCCCCTCTCTCTTTCTCTTTCTCCGCCGCCGCCCCCCCCTCCGGCCCCACCTCTGTCTCTCTCAACATCGCATTCTAATTCACCGTGTCGGTTGCGCGAATATAATTTCATTAAGGACGAAACAGGATTTCGCGGGGCGCTTTCTGTCCCCTAATAATCCCATGTGCTCGTGTGCGCCCAGAAGTTGCGTATGTGGGCCTTTCGAGACTCCGGAATAGCGGGGTTCGAACCTTTCGACGAGAATCGAGGCTGAGCCGTGCCTTTGTTCCGGGGTTGATAACAATCGCCAGCGACAAAGGCTCGCCACACATTCTCCCTCTTTATCTCGGTACATCGTTACACATTGGCTTAAGACTAAACGAACAGACCCGTTATACCGGCGAGGGCAATCTCGATGCGCGCTACGTCCACGAAGTAGGTCCTCCAAGTCTCCCCCGGCGGTAATGGTCTCTCACCCATGATTTTCGTACTCGTGTCTCATTCCCGGGACAACTCTAGCTCTTTAAATTCATTGCACGCGCGCGAGTTCGTGTCGTTGCTACGGTAGCCAAAGGGAAAAAGTTTCCAGTCTAATTTCCCGATTCACGTAGAGTTCATCGCCGGAGCCGCGTAATACGGGAATAGCGAATTAATCGCAGCCGGATAAACAGCAGAGAGACGCCAGCCGGTCTTCTTTTCGAACGACACACATTGTTCGTCGATCAATCGATAGCGATGGTATCGCATTCGCGATAGGATATAAGGAAATCGAGCGCAGACGAGCGCAAGTACGAGCGTAACATTTCGCGGATGGTCCTCCGTATTAATTACAAAATGCAGCGCGTGTTCGATGACAATGCTCGAAAGCAGAATCTGTTGCTTCACGTTCCTTACAACGCTTTCTATTTTCCGTGCCGCGCTCGTAACGGTTCTTGTCCTCCGACGGTGTCCGTCAGCCATTGTGTACTGTCTGCGCATATCGAAACAACACAGACAGACTGGCAAGAAACGGACACGCAAGAAACACGGCCGGCTAAACTGAACGGCGCGAACCGCGCGCGCTGCGTTCCCGCGAGAGGAATTACCTCGCGAAAAAGAAATCCCGCTTTCAATTTCGCCGTTTACGTTTTCCAGTCGTCAGTCAGCCGACACCGACCACAGGCGTCGAGAGCATCGATTTATAACGCACGTCGCCATTAAATCGGCATCGGAAACTGCCAATGCGGTCCTGAATGACGTGACGTGAGCACGCTCTCGCCCGGCCGCTCGCTCGCGGCTTAATGAAGTTTCAAGAACAAGACGAACGATTACTGATTAATCGCCGGCGCGACGCGGCGGTGCGGTGCCGACTGCGTATTTAAAAGTTTTTAATTGCGTGCCCGCACGAGCCGTGCCCGCGCGCTGAGAATCGCCGTTGCGGCATTGCTGCGTTCCCGTGGGCTTTTTTTCCTCGCGATATTTCCACCACGTCGCTTCATAAGGACGCATTAGAGGGGAAATTAAAAGCCGCCATAGGGAGGTGCTTTCGTCAGTCGCTCGTTTCTCGCGTTGTTCTCGACTTTCGTTCACCGAGGGTCGCCGCCATGGAGAGAACCATGCGGGGCGCATTTTGTTGCACGCTTTAACAGTCGAGCGGCTCGACGACGATCGAGTTCGATTGAGCGTGTCGCGCTCAATCGAACGTGCGCGTTCATGATAACGAGGCGTGCGAAAAGCCCTTCTCACGACGGGCGGACGGGCCCTAAGCCTCTCGGCGGAATTTTTCCTTTCGACTGAAAAACCTCACGGCGCGCGTCGCCGGGCGAGACGCGAGAGTCCGGAATTAGAAAGGGCCGTCGGTGCGGGTCGCTAATGTGTGGACACTTTCACACGTCCGAGAATAAGTCGAAGAGACGCCACGGAACGTCGACTGAATGATTTCGAAAGATGGATATTTATAAATCCTAACGACGCGCGCACATCGCGCGTCGCCGCGGGCCTTTATGCCGCGCCGGTAATTAATACGTCGACCCGGAAAAGGGAAGAAAAAAGTAGCCACTCTCTCCGACGCTATTTCGAGCGCCGTCGTCCGCGCACTTGGTAAAGCCACGGCAGCGCGGCACTTCGATTCCGAAGTGGACGCTGCGAGATCACGCCGAGTCACGTGGCTCGAGCCGGCTGAAGGATGAGCGGCTCATCCTTGCCGTGCGTTGCTGAATCGCCCGCGCCATAACGAGTCCGTCATTAATGAGCGCGCCCTTCCGATCCCTTTCTCCCGCGGATATTTTTATACGCGACATACACGGTCGGCAGGAGCGATCCGACCGCTGTAGGAAATTACAGCGTCGCCGGGGCCAGCGACTTGGGAGAAGTTGGACTTTCACAAATATCCAGCGGGCGAGAGACGTGGCCACGCGCGGCTCCTCGCCATCGGCCTCATCGCCTTCTTCGATTCATCGCGCCCGCGGCTCCTTATCGAAAATCGATTCCCCTCTATGCGAGTCATGCAAATTCGCCGTGAGCGGGCTTACCACCACGCGCCGGCTGTTTACCGTTCGCGCCCGCGGAATGCGAGAGCAAGCGAGAGGGGAGAGAGATAAAGTGCCGGGTGATTAAAATTCCCGAGAACGCGACTTCTGCCGGACGAATTACGTAAGGCGTGTCTCACGAGAGCGCGAACGGAGAGAGCTCCTTCCGACCGGTCTCTCGTCGCAATGAATTATGGAAATATTATTTTCGCAGATGCCGAGATCGATTATTATCGGCGACGAAGAGCGCCCTATCCGCGGCAGGGGGCTGAAGGAATTATGGAATCTCAATCCAATATCTTCGGTTCCAACAACCCCAGCCCCGGAACCTCTTCGTATAAATCTAAAGTAATAACTGTCCCGCTCATGAGGGAGAGACGGGCATTTTTCGCTCGCCGGGAATAGACGTTCCGCGAAATTTCGCCGTCGGTCGCTCCTCCGCGAGCACGAGGTATCTCTCCTCGAGACTTCACGAAGGTATTATTAAAATGACTCGTCCCGGCCGACCGAAACGACCGTCCCGTTGGCCGTGAGAAAGAGAGGCGGCACTCGTTCGCCAGCAGTCGTTAAGCAGCTTCGTCGGCGAACTGCTTTCTTCGTTAGCGAGACAGAAGGGAGAAAGAAAAGCGGGCGGAAGCACGCGAGGAGTATTACGCCGGAACGGCTACGCCGTCACACTCACCTGCTCGTAATTTCGTATAAAGTCGCGAAGCTCACGCTCCTTGTCCTCGAGAGTGCCGTAGAGAGCCTTCATCTGATTGAGGAGGTCGAACTTCTCGGCTTTCAGCCGCTTCCGGTCAGCCTTGAGCGCTTGCAGCGCCTCCTTCGCGTGCTGCAGCTCCATTTCCAAGGCGACGAAGCGAGCCTCTTCCTCCATCGCGGCGTCCTCAGCACCGACCTCGCCTCGCGCTGCGCCGCTCAACAACAACCTCCTGAGCCTCGCGACCTCCGCCACCAACCGCTCGTTCTCCAATCGCAGTCTCCTGGCGCTGGCCAATTCCACCGGCCCACCGCCGCCACCCCCGTGGATGTTGGACAGTCTGGACGCCACCACTGGGTCGCCGATTCCTAGACCACGGGCAAAAAAGCACAGTCGTGAAAGGATAATACTCCTCTACTCGCTCGAACCCTGGTGGAATTATGGAATCAATATCCATATTGATTCCAATCGATATTAACTTTTTATTTTATCAACTATTCATTCCTCAGCGCATTCTTTCTGCGGGATTGAATTTATTGAACGAGCCGAGAAAGAAAGAGAAGGAAATGAAGAGGGACGCATGGGGAAGAAATATACGTAAGTTTTATTTCGCACACTCGGCATATGGAATCAACATGGTCAATTTTTGATTTCCTGAAGTATTCATTCCTGATCTGATTCGTCCAATGGGATTAAATTCGTTTCACAAATAGAAAAGAAAAGGGAGATAAGAGGGGGCATGGGAAGAATTCTGCGGAATGTTATTTTAGACTCTCGAGATATGGAGTCAACGTGATTAATTTTTTATTTAATGAATTATTCATTCTCGATCGCATTCATTTGACGGGATTAAGTTTGTTCTGCGAATAGAACGCATAGCAGAAAAGACTTACGTAACGTCCAGATTGACTTCATTTTCTATGTCACGCACATTCCTCGTGCTTATCAGCGCGGGACACGGTTGCGAATGTTGGCGCGAAGGTAGAGAATAAGAATCTCATTATCTCGATTACACGGCCATCAAAAGCAGCTCGTCGCACGCCGTTTCTTTATCGGATAGACGTGAATTATTTTCTCAAGAACGTCGTTGGTTAACTCACAAAGTCACGGCTCAAGACGTGGTTTAAAACTCCCGGTTCTCTCCCTCCCTCTCTCTCTCTCTCTCTCTCTCTCTCTCTCTCTCTCTCTCGCTCGCTCGCTCATAACAAAAAACGTATCTCAGCCTGGCGTTTCAAGACTCTCAGAGCGCGACGCTCTCTCAGCAGGCGACACAATGCAAGAGCGCCACTGCGGTAGAACGCCATTGAGACAATTCGCGTGTGCGTCCGCTCAAAGGGCTCACGAAGGGCAAAGGATGAAAGCCGAGTCAGTCCGCTGCGAGTCGTTCATAATTAAACACCGGACTACCCACCGAGAGAATTAGCCGGGGACGACGGTCTGCTGCCTGGCGCCGGCCCGGGTGGTTCATTATCCTCGTCGGCGCGCGCGTCGCCGTCCACTAGGTCCTTGTCGGCGTCCTTCTCGTGGTCGTTCATCTCCTTGCTGGATCGCAGGGAGTCGCGGTTGGCAGTCGATATCCGCAGCCGCTCCACGCTGGAGCGGTCGCTGCCGCCGCGGTGCAGGAAGCTGCCGCTCCTGTTGGCCGATGATCCGCGATCCGGACTGGCGCTGCCCGATCGAGAGTCCACGCTGCCGCCGGACCCGCCCAAGCGCGTCTTCTCCAGGGCGGGGGCATAGGGACGGCGAGCCTTCTCGCTCGGGCTGCGGCAGGGCGAGCCATTTCTTCGCTCTGTGACCAACAAGAATAATCAAGACTCGATGGAGAGTTTCCACTCGGGAATAGCCGAGCGACCGAGTCCGGAATTGTCGGAATGGCGACGACGGGGAGTGGACGATACGTTTGGGTGAACGTAATCGCACGATGAATTCCTTCTCGGGTCGAAACAACACCGGCCGGCTTAGCCAGTCGGAGTTCGTCAACGGAGGCCACTTCTATTAATTTCTTTTTTTTTTTCCCGATCACGCCGATCGCATTATTTCGTTCGAGAGCGAGCTAGTGTCTGGTGCTTACGAGTTCGCCATGTTTCACTCAATTAGCCGCTCAGCAGCGGAGCGGACGCGGCGCGGAGGGGGAGAGCTCATGCGCAATCAGCGTGAGGATTTAAATCGAACGCTAACTAATTTTCATGAGCGCTCTCGGCGTAAGGCGTATGCGCGGCACACACACACACATATATATATATATAATTTAATCTATTCGGCAAACTTCTCAGCGGCCGTCGCGCAGCCTCCTCGACGCAAGGATGCCCTCCGAGCGATCCTCGGATCTCGGCCACCAATGAGCTCCATTGGAACGAGGCTGCAAAAAGATAGATAGATGTTGAACGGATCGTTATCTCTGTCAGTCCTCAGCACCTCAAATAAGACGTGTTACTGACAAAGATGACAATCCAAGCAACACGTATCTGTCTCTTTGAAGAGTCCCTCCAGTATACTACAGAGTACTCACTGTCGGCTACATCTGGGCGAAACCCGCCGAGAGAGAGTGAACTGGGACGAGGATCAGAAGGAGCAGCAGCAGCATGAGGAGGAGAAGGAGAAGAAGCAGGAGGAGGAGGGCAACTTATATTGCCGCGCGGAGAAATCGCTGGAATGAAGCCAGCCTTTATTGGAATGTACGTCCGAGCGGATGCGAGACGGATGCGCCGCTCGATAAGGTGGATCTGTCCGGCGATCTTCACGGCGGAATATCCCTACGTGGTACGCATGATCGATCGGACGAGCCGTCGACTGGTAGCGGCGATAGCCCGACAGCTCCTGGAGCCGCGGCGCAGCCCGGCCGGGCCAGCGTTCAGGATACGCTCGTTCCGAATTTTGCATGCACGCGCAGGTCACTCTCTCTCTCTCTCTCTCTCTCTCAAGTGGGTCCGTTGGCATCTCCTCGAGACGAGAGGAACGAACACGAGTGGCATAATGTACACGGTGTCTTTGATCTTCCGCGAACGCGTTAACACGTACACGTACCGGGCGAAGATATGGAGCGCGTCTGCGGCGTCCTGTTGAAATCCATGAGGTTTTCCTCTGACGGGGAATGCGTTTTCGGACGCGGTCATCTGACGCGACTCGTCGTTAATTGACAGAGTTTCTCGGGGATGTAGCGACGCGTCGTGGGGAATCGTACCGGGTTGACTGAAGATGAAGCCCAATTACGGTTAACAGTGCTGGCTGGGTGTTGGCTGGGTAATTGAAATGAGCAGGAGGGGGGATAAATTATCGACTCTTGGTGACTCCGAATTGGCTCCCGTGTTTTTCTGTCCAGTCGGTCGGCGAAACGTCGCGACGCTAGCGATTGGTTCGATTTCTTCATCGTATCGTTAGTTAATTGATGCAACGCGCGCAACGCATTTGCAGTGATGTGTTTCTATGTTGAATGTAGCGCCGATCCTCTTCCTGAGCGATTTTCCTGTTCCTTGGATGGAGACATTCAAGCGACTTCCCGAGAGAGATATCTTAACGTTTCTCAATCGTTATACGTTTTCCATTACAAGCGCAAAGTCTTGTCGAGTGTTTGGGAACACCGACAATAAGACAATAAAGTTCAATATCCTTAGGTACAATAAATCTATTGGGCACAACGCCTTTAATATGCGCGATTGCGCAAAAGCCGTCGATAGAAATAAGCTGTGATAATATAGATAAAGAATAAAATAATAATAGCTTAATTCAATTCAGTTTCTACGTATAATTTGATTAAATTATGTCAATTTCGTTGAATTGTCATATAACATAATTATAATCATACTATCGTATTACTGTATCGTATTATTACATTATTTAATATTATTATTATTATATTATTACATTATCATATTATAGTATCATAATATTCAATCTCTCAGAGTCGGGCGGAATGAAACGCGACGTAGACTCGACGTAAAACCACAAAGGGTTACAGAGAGCCACTTTCGCCCTCGAGATGCAGAGCGCACGCAAGACGAGCGTATATTGAGAAGGACGAGAATGCAGACGAACGAACGGCAAGGAACGCTACGTCGCGGCTCGTTGTTTCGTATTCGGCGAGATATAACGACAATTGGGACGTTTGTCAAGAAGATCGAGCTCTATAAGCTATAATACACGATTCGAGGGCGGCTGAAGGGTGGCAAGAGAAGCCGGACGCCGCTGCGGCACGAAGAAGCACGCCGAGGAGGAGACGATGAATCATGACCGGCCATAAAGGTAACAGGCACATAACTGCGAGAGAGAGAGATATATATATATAAAGGATAACTCGCCGGCGAGAAGTTAAGATAAACGTGGAAATGCGAAAAACATTCTCGCGCGCGAGCGCGCCGCGTCTTAAAATTTCATTCTCGCCAACTTCTTAAGAAGTCTCATCCGCCGAAGCTCATGGCGCCGATAACTTTCCGCCCATCTTCGCAGCCTCCCCCCTCCCCCTCCCGCCGAGCGCATCACGACGTTGCGGAGTTGTCTTTATGAAAATACTTTTGCGAAATAACCCCGAACGTATAGAGAACATCCACACCGGGACGCAACCTTGAGATTTTCCCTCGCGCTTCCCCGAGATTTCCACGCGCGGCGTCTCTTTATTCGCAAACAGCTTCCTGCAGCGCTAATCGTATTTTGAGCTGATCACTCAGTCTCTTCCTCGTCGGACTTGCGCATCTCGGCGCTTTATCGCGCGGCTCGAATAAAATACGGCAAGTATGTAAAGTAGAGCTGGGTTGGATCTTACGAGGATATGACGTGTTACACATTTCTGATATATCGCCGTTATGCGCCCGCAGAATTTCGATCAGCCGCTTCTCTGAAAACTGATGTCTCGCGAGAAACTTTCCGGAAAATTCCTATGCCGCGCATGTAGTCAGAAGCGTGAGAGCGCAGCTCATGAAGAATTCAGATTCCCCGCCGAAGTCTGAAGTGTCGACGTTATCATTCTCCGGAACGCCTCGGACACTTTCCCGGCGCGAAAACGAGCAGCTCGAAATCTTTTTCTCAGCAATTTTTGACGGACACGCGCAATCACGAGGAAAAAGTACCAAAGTTTAAAGTGGGCTATTGCCTCTCGAAAAGTCAAACAATCCCGAGGAGTACCTCGAATACCAGGATAATTTCCGAAAAAAAAAAAAAAAAAAAAAACGTCCCCGAGGTACCGAAGACGCGCGAGCCCGAAAACTAGTTATTGTTATACTTATACGATTTTCGAATTCGCACGTGTGCGTGTCCGGCTGAAAGCCGCATGCTTCCAATGTCCCGAGGAAATTGTATCTCGGGGGATCACCCCGCTGCTCAAATTTCCATTTTTTCTCGGATTACATATGTGGCTATTCAACTCTCAAGATTCCGGAGCCGCACGTGATCTCGAAAGATCAAGGAAAAACAAGGACATTTTTGCCGACAAACCTATGGGACTGGCTCGACGATCGATAGGACTGGTCCTCTCCTTCCTGTCGACTGGGCTGGCTCTCTTATCGATGGGACTGGCCGATTTGTCGCTGGCCGAGCTCCTCTTCTCGATCGGGCTGCTGCCGGCGCTGAGCCTCTTGCCGTCGTCTTGCTGCGCCTGTTGCTGCGCCTCCGCGTCCTGGCCGGGGTTCGCGCCGCTCGCCGCGCCGGAGTTGTTGCTGTTGCCGTTACCCGCCGCCGGCGCGGCTGCCGCGGCTGCAGCGGCGCCGGCGCCGGCGTTGTTGTTGTTGAGCACGATCGGCAAGGCGCCGCGGACGTCGCGCAACTCACCCCGAAGAGTGGCGCACTCGCCCCTGGCGCGCTCCAGCTCGCCGTCCAGCCGGGCGCCGGTCGCTGCGTTCTCCTCCACCATCACGCGGAATTTTGCCTGTAACACGCGAATCCATCTCGTCAGGATTGTAAGTCGCGAATTGGGAAAGCGCAGCAAAGGGGCGGCAGTGCGAGAGGAACCTCGCACTTGCGCTGAGAAGGTAGCGATTACTTCGTTGAATTTACAATCATTTTCAGCGTCTCGTCTGTTTGTTGCTCCACCAAGAAATGTCTGTATGCATATAAAGTTATTGTCGCTCACGTTATAGCAGCGATTGCCGCGGCAAAGATTTTTCGGGCTACTAATTACTTTATCATGTAATCAATCGCACTACGCAACACCGACGATTACTTCATTGTCCCTCCCTTTAATAAAAAGCGCATGTCAACATTGTGCATGTATTTCTTATCGAAGCGTTTAAGCCTCTTTATATCGAAGCGTTGAAGCCTTTTTCCACGATGCTGATTGGCCGTCTCGAAGTCGCGTTACGGCCGGCTTCGTGCCGTTTGCAGCTGTCATTGCGTGGAATGACAGCTGAGTGACAGTTTTTGTATCAGGGAATCTCTTTTAAAAAAGGTGTGTGAAACCTCGATCTCGAATATATCGAAGCGGGTGAAGAGAGGAAGAAAGAGTGAGAGGAGGAGAAAGAGAGAGAGAGAGAGAGAGAGAGAGAGAGAGAGAGAGAGAGAGAGAGAGAGAGAGAGAGAGAGACAGGGAGAGACAGGGAGAGACAGGGAGAGACAGGGAGAGACAGGGAGAGACAGGGAGAGACAGGGAGAGACAGGGGGAGACAGGGAGAGACAGGGAGAGACAGTGAGAGACAGGGAGAGACAGGGAAAGACAGAGAGACAGGGAGAGACAGGGAGAGACAGGGAAAGACAGGGAAAGACAGGGAGAGACAGGGAGAAATAGAGAGAGACAAGGAGAGACAGGGAGAGACAGGGAGAGACAGGGAGAGATAGGGAGGGAGAGAGAGAGCGAGAGAGAGAGAACGAGAACGAGAGAGAGAGAGAGAACGAGAGCGAGAGAGAGAGAGGGAGGGAGAGTGAGAATTAAAGAGAAAGAAAGAATGAGGGAAAAAGAAAGAAAGAGTGAGGGAAAGTGATAGAATGATGGAGAAAGGGAGGGAGGGAGAAGGGGAAGAGGGAGAGAGATAGGGAGAGAGGGAGGGAGGAGTGGGGAAGTGGGAAGGGGGAGTCAGCTTCTGTATTCAAGATCGTCTTGAATTCATCTTCAAATGCTTTTTAGCCAATAGAAGGTTACATATAGCATCTGAAGATGAACTTAAGATGGTCTGGAATAAAAATGTTAAACGTCAAAAATTAATTGGTTATACGGTTACACGTTACTATTCAGAAAATATGTCATGGAATTTCAAACTGTATGCGCCTAATACATCGTATGTTGGAGTCGGATATTATTAAACTTATGTTACACTACAGGGTAACACTTATTTTTATGATTTATAATATTTATTCTAAACTTTAATATGAATAAGCTAAAATGGCGCGCCTTGTAGTGTTCTTGTAGTGTAATTATAAAATTCATTGCAGTTGTAATCAGAAACAACCCCATTTAAATTCTAGTCACTCTCGACGTTCTTTCACTGTTTCCAAACAAAAACGAACCAGCAGAAGTGCGAGAAGAAGTGATAGAAGATTATTACCGCTAAAGCGGCATTCATTACGAAAAATGCAGAGATCCCGTAACCTATACGATCCCGGAGACCCGCCGATGTCGAGGAAATCTAGTGAGATGATAATAAAAGATAGCGAATATTGAAAGATAGGCGTAGGTGGAAACATTAATCGCAAATATTTGCCGATAAAGGAGTTTTTCCGTCGAGCCGGGCGGAAAAGGCGACGCTGGCCGGTGCGCTTCTACGTCTCGCCGTTTTCGCGAAGTTCCCGGCGAAGTTAATGCCTGCCGGGGTAAAACGAGCAAATCGCGGACCGATAAAAGTTTCGTTCGCCGGCGCGAGGCGTGCAATATTAATAAGCCGTCGGCCGACGGCTGGCTGGCTGGCTACAGCCAGCGCGAATCTCACTCCGCGCGCGCCTCGCGCGACGTCCGTCCTTGCGCCCGTCCTCGGCGGGGCGCGCTGAAAGCCCTTTACACGGCACATCGCGGTATCGACGTGTCGCCTACGCTATTCAGAAGTTTACGCGCGCGAGCGAGCGCTCACCATGTCAGTCGGCAGCCGCCTTCGGAGTCGCGGCACGAATCACTGAAATTGCGAAACAGAGAGAAACACGTGGGACACGTAGCGCCGTATTTCTTCTTTCTCAGTCGCATTAGAAGTAACCCCGGAGATAAGTAAAATGCTATTTCTTTCCGGATTACGAAATCGGGGACGACGACGACGACGAGGACAACGACGACGACGAAGGCGAAGGCGAAGGCGAAGGCGAAGGCGAAGGCGAAGGTGGCGGCGAAGAGAACACGCCCGCGAAAGAGAATCCTGGTTGTAGATTTTTCCTCCCGCTGCGTTTTCACTCGGAGCCTTTTTTCCTCCTCGAGCGAGAACTCGGGAGATCGAAATCGACCAAGATCGCCGTTCTTTCGTCCCTACGTACTCTCCACTCACGTCACTGAGTGCTTCGCGCTCGAAAAACGTTCCCAACCAACGGCCGGTTAAAACGACGCAGAGAACTTCGCGCGGCTCTCCGGCGCTTTCGGCCGCAGGCTTTTTGCCGATTGCCGGATCCGTCGGCTTCGTGGAAATTCCAGCGGGGAATATTCTTCTTTGATCGCTCTCATTACGCGATAGCCGTGCGACGTCTATCGCGGCCGGGCATTAAAGCGGAATGATGCTCGCGCCGGCTACGAAATCAAAGCGGCGTTCCCTAATGGCGATCAATGAGACTCCGCGGCTCAGTCCGTGCAAACTCCCAGAAACGCTAATTCACACAAACGACTGCGGAATCCTTCGTGCGGAATAATAGATGGCTCCCTCGCGTCCAGACTGACATGCGGGTCCGCATGTTGGGATAGGTCGATGATATAATATGACGCTCGCGCGCGCGCGATTAACTATGAGTGGTGCACCGAACGGAGACTACGGGGTAAACGAACTTCGCTTACGCGTCTAACTCTCTTAACCTTTTTCTTGAATGGACGAGTCGCCGGCGACCGCCGAGTTGCTCAAGAAAATTCGAAAGGATTAAAAAGAAGGAGCAGTGTAGAGCAAATGTTCCAGTAACCGGACGTTTAAGCGTAAGTCGTCACAAAAAACACGACATATAATATTAAGAATAGTTTTGATATAAATATTTGCATTTATTCGAAAACTTAAAATTCCCTTAAGTAAAGAAAAATGATTTAAACCGATGTATATATCTATTATTAATGAAATATTTACATAAGTAATGAAGCGCATTGATATACCAGTGACCGAACAGTTGAAATAGTTATGGCCCAATGTTCGGGCATAATTTGTTCAAGTGTCTGACCGCAATTAGAAAATTAGTACTGTGCTAACGAGAAATAATATAAATATAGATATTTGTATATTTGGAAGTAAAGATCATCGATTAATAGGTTTAAAAAGTCTCGCATGCAAACAATTGTTTCTTACAAACAATGCAAATATTATACATACTACAAAAATCTGTTCACGTTTACACGTTAAAGGCGACACCACATGACGCTAATCTTATTTTTTTCTGACAGCTTAGGATTGCACATGCATACAATGATTAGGACCATTGATATTTTTAATGTACAATACCAATCTCTCGTCCAGTCAGAAATATCGTTTCGATTACAATTTTTATGGTGTGATTCATCAAAGCAAGTTTCTAACTAATTTCTAAAACTAAATATTCAGTTATTTATTCACAAATATAAATAAATATCTATTTTTATACTATTAGCTAGACGTTATCTTTTGATGAATTTATTAACGATTATTTTACCAAACCATAGGTGCATACTTATTTAATTAATTTTTATTTCAATACAAAAGTATCAAATTGAATATATTTTTTTCCAACTAATCATCAAATATTGGAGTTTTTTTTTACAATAATTATTACTTTCATTCATTATTGTTAAAATAAATAGTAAATATTCTTTTCAAAGTGGACGGATACTGGGGCGTGTCCGGCTATTGGGACGTTTACCTTAATTGTACACACGATCCGATCGAGCCGAGGGAACCGTCTTGATTTATTTATATTTGAAATCGCAGGATGTAATCTTAACAAAAGTAATATTAATAATAATAATTTTAATTTCATCATTTCAACTTTACTCAATTATATTATATCAATTATGTATAATGTACATTTCACATCCGCATCATACGTTTCGTATTATATTATAGAATTATCACATATTGAAATCACATTCCATATCATGGGTATAATGTTATCGTATTTTATTATATTATCATATATGTAATACGATATCATATTATACTCGAAATAATCGGGATGATCCCCTAATTGGATGATTTTTGAAATAATCGAGAAAGCGATATGTTCCGGCGGCAATTTAAGGGCGGTGACTTTATTAATGCAGACGTGAGCGAGGCCGGTATCATCGCCGAGGCGCTTTGCGCTCGATGCGGTCGAGGCTGCGTTTCGCGACTGCGAATGACTGATCGTTGCGGCGCTCAGCGGCGGTGCGCACGGCTCTCCGCAATCGGAAGCACGAGCGGAGCCCTCTGAAATTTGCAGTCTCAATGCTACCGTCGGGGTGGCGAGCGGTGCGCGAGAGTCTCTATCCAAAGCCGCCGTGTATACCGTAAACAGCTTCCGGTAGGTCGTGACGATTTAATGACACGCTGTCAAACGATGATCTCTCATTGCGGCTTCACGCTAGCTCGACCGTCCGTACCGAGGGTGATTCATCAACTTCGAGAACGAGGGGTTTTATTTATTTACAAGGAAGCGTCTCGCGATTGCAGATTCTTCGCGCACAACTTTTGCGCGCTATCAACTACGGATGATAATCGCGCTTTTTCTTACGAACGATGTCTTTGGAATATCTTCGATCGAAAATATCGCGGAAAATATTTGCCAGGCTCGCTCTCGCTCAGCGGCGGCTACGGC